TACATCATTTTCCAATTGCCCGCCAAATAGGAATAACTTTGAAGAGGTATTATGCAAGGAAATAACTCCAATAGTGTGTCCATATCTCCCATTTGGCTTGTTCAAAACATGGCTTGGTATGGTATATTTGCTGTTATTGATGTTAAATAAGTAAAAGTTATTATCGGGGAATCCATTGAAATCAGTATCAACTGTGTCCCCACCATAGATAATGTAAGCATTACCACATAATACCGAAGAGTGTCCTACCCTTGCCGGAGGATTGTTAAGGTTGACAACTTCAATGTTACTGGCTTCATATCCAGTAATTTCATCGTCCAAGGTCAGTCCCTGAGGGGTAATTTTCCAGGTATCTCCAAACACGGAGCCTTCTTTCAAACCTCCCATCAAGAATATTTCATTCTTATCACTAGCAACAGCAGCAGCAGAATGTCTGTATCTAGGGAAGGGTGAATTGACCAATTTGTGTCTCTTCCATGGCGTAGTCCCGTTTATAGTAATTGCAGGTGCAATTCTCAGTCTCGGCTGCTTCTTTGTGAGTACTGGGGAAGCTACTGGCGAACTCACCGGTGAGTCGTGAGCTTGGTCACTAGGGGAGGTGCTATCCATCGTATCATCGGCATACGATGTATTAGCTTCTTCAAGCCTTTTTTTGTTTTTGCCAAAAGTAAATCGTGCCATATCCTTTTGTAGATCGTGGTTGAAGATAATTGTCCTTTGTAGTGGGTATTAATACAGAATTTGGTTTAAACAAACTTTACCAGTCAAATTATAAAACAAACTTTAAAAAATGCATAAACTATCAAACAGCTATGAAAGAAATACTTAAATATGTCCACTTATTTTTTTATGTTGATGTTATGCTCTTCTTATTCAAATACTATGTTTAAAAACATACCATGATCTTATACATGTGACACAAAATTTTATAGCCATATTTTGCATACAGGTGAAATACTACCAGATTAGGAAATTATTTTAATAGTGCATTTTAGTCATGCCCCTCAATACATACTATATGTAGAAGAGGAGTTTAATAAATTACCAATTTGGGAAAGATAAATAGAATAAGTATAGGCCAAAGATATACGATTGGTATAAAACAAATTATATGGTGATGGACGATACCTAAAGCGACGACCATAGATCGTACATCAATATTGCAGTTTGGCGAGAAAAATACATAGGTTAGAAATATTTTGTTTACCTAAAATAGATAAAAGTTTTTTATGTGATATTGCTGGATTAGGTCCTATTCTATGGATTGGTATCAAATACTGGTTGAAACATATATATGAGGTATTGAAAGTAAAACAAAAGGAATGTGTTTATATTTTTTCGTCTGTTATATGGACGACGTTTTGAATAGGGTAACGAGAATTAAGAATATTAGACCGGAGTCTATGTCCTAGATCGGATAAATATGGTACATATGAGGGATAGAGAGAATACGAGATGCAGGTAGAATACTATATATATCACACGCACGAGAAATAGATTCAAGGGGATCAGTTTGCGGTATCATTACAGAGGAGGTTTAAACTAGTTGGCGAGTTAGGTGCAGAGGCTGCGAAACGCTTAACATGTCTTTTGCAATTTGCCATAACGAGCCATGGCCAACCCAAACTGGGAGATAAGTGGATGCAAGAACTGTAAAATGTAACATATAGATGTATTAAATGATACTTGTTGTAATTGTATCGAATAACTTCTAAAACGTAAACTCTTGTAATACTAAGTTTGAACTACAGAACAAACATAAGGAGTTTGATCTTTTAAAGCTTCGAGCAGATCTGACTAGCGACATGTATTTTGATTAAGTCAATTACAGAAAGATTCTTTATAAATTATAAAAGTAGGACATTCTTACTGAATGATCTAAATTGTCCTATCAGGCCAATAGGTGCAGATTTAGTATTCTTGCGTGCGAATCTTTTCGGATGAATTCGGAATGTTTTGTCTGTTCCGTTCCCTATGTTTGTATTCTAGGTTATTATCAGGCAATAAAACAGCCTACGATATACTTGTATGTTCACCAAATACAATTAGTATCATATGAGTAACTTAGGGTAGTTGCAAAACCCCCTAAGAGTTATCTCTAATTTACCTCATGTTCAATATAGTGTTAAGCATGATTTCTTCCTAAACGTGAAGGATATATAGAATAAACATAGCTCGGTTTAATAAATTGCTCCCTGGAAAGATGACCTCACTTTCCCGAATATTTACCACATATTTTGCATTAGTATTTATCATTTCGCAAGTAGGATTTTACGATTTTGCTGTCTCTTTAGCCTAAAACCAATCTAAGTGCGCAAACAATCGGAAAAATTTTCTGTGTGGGGGACTAAATGTGGAGTACATAACGAGTACAAGTGGGAAAACAAAAGGCTTCGATCTCCTTTGTTCTAATGACTATCAACAAAAGGAACCAAGTAAAAAAAGCTTAAAAACATAATATTGAGAGAAATAAAATAATATGAGAGAGATGAATTGTCATGAGGTGGATGCTGTATCATGCTACTCCGATACAACTGTGACTGAAAATGATAACTTTAATTTGAACACATTTAATAATTATTATACTACCAGAAACAGAATTGTAGATGAAGGATTGGAAATCGAGGATTATGAGATTAAAATCGTATCTAATAGCCATACCAGAAGTTTAAAATTATCAAGCATTAACAATTTCATACAGATGATTGTATCTCCACAAGATTTCCAACAATTATTAGGTATTCATCAAAATTCCCTTGAACAAATTACAGTCCAGCATTTAATTATATACGTGTTTTGCAATATGAGAGAACTTTTACTTGACACAGTGAAATATGTTAACCAGGTTAGACTACTACACTTGGGCAAGAAATATGCGATCGAGGATTTTACAAAGAACAGAAATATGTCATTGATAAATGACTTGAAGATTACAGAATGCCCTTCGTTTCATTTAGTCTTGACAGATTTGCCCATAAGCCCATTACCATTAATATCTAAAAAATTTGTGATTATGAACTTCTTCAATCATGAAGAATATACTGGGTCAGTAACATATGCAGAGGCGATAGTCAAAAAGTTTAAAACCAACACAAATTCAAGAAAATCTTCGGTTGTTTCAAACACTGAGACTCTATCTGATGTAACCACAACCAACGTGTCTTTGAAATCAGAAGGCAAATTTAAAGGGAGATTGAAGAGATTTTGCAGGTTTTAATTTCATAATCTGTATAGTAATCATCAAAAAATCTCTGGGAGTATTAAGGTAAGTTAAGTAATTTTATGTACAATAGTCACTACATCATGTAGAATCCATACAATAGGAAGGAAATTAAATGGTAATAAGGCTCAATAATGCACTTAGATAAACAGCTACGACTGAAAATTGACAACTAGTATGAAAAGTCTCGTATAGTCTTGAATATAATAAATCATGTTATTAAAAAATTACAAGTAGACGCTTATTATATATAGCCTAATGAATGCACTATGGTGCGTACATATTAATATTAGAATTATCATATGATACAGCAATACTTTATGTTGGAGAAACTTACCAATCAGCGGAATCACCCCACCCATCATCCTCCTCAACGGTAAGGTTTAGCTTGAGAGTCGACCCTGGATTCTTTTGTTGCTTAGCTCCTAGCTTCAAAGTACTGGCTTTTTTCTGAGGCTTTAAGGGAGTAGGTGAACTTTTTGAGGGTGTAACCTTTGACTCTTCTAATATATTATTGTCAATCTCAAGATCAACATCTTCATTCCAACCATCATCCTCAAAATTCCAATCTTGGATATTGTCAGTACTGTTTTGCTGATCATTAATGTTTGATTTGATGTTGTTTGCCGATGGCAAAGCAGGTTTTGTCAAGTCCGGCGTAGAGCTATTAAAATCGTTGTTCAATTTACCATTTACAGCAGATGTAGATATTAATTTATTCACCACATTCCACCCGAATGAAGAACTTGATACAGGTGCTTCTACTACTTTCTCTTGAGCGTCTTTGCTCATTGGTGCATGTTTCTTGAAAAATTCTTTTTCTTCTAAATCTTCGTCTTCTTCATCTTGAGGAAGCGAGGCAGAATGTTTCTCGACCGACTGCAAATACAAGTCGAAAACTCTTTTTGCCTCAACTCTGACTTTATAAGATTTGTTATCCATTAATGAAATAGCCAAATGTCCTAATATTTTTCCACAAATTTCATCTAATGAAAATTCATCAATGAGTTTTTCAAATCCAGACAAAGCCATCATTTTGCATGGCGTAAAAGAATCTCTCAACGACTTGGATAATGCAGTTATCAAGACATTGTTTTTAGAATTTTTATAGATCTTATCTGATATCTTTATAATCAATATTAATGTATTCGTTCTAATTGAAGGCTTTGGATCCATCTGTGATTTTGCTAATACCTTTAGCAAATCTTGGTTAACTTGTTTTACAGATACTTTATCAATAATAGTAGTGATAGATTTTAACGTAGTTTCACGAATCATAAAATTAGTGTCTTGAAAGCCACTGATCATGTCATAAAATATTTTCAGTTGAATATCCGATTCAGTTAAATATGCTGAATAAGATGGGAGGTGAGTCAATAAGTTTAATCTAATTGTTCTATCAGCCAAGCTGAAAGTTTTGAAAATAATTGGTTTCACCGACTTACAAAATAAATCTGTAGGCAATGTTGATCCAAATCTCAATATATAATGTAAAATTACAGATATAGTTTCTTGCCTTTGTTGATGTTCCTCTGGGGTAGAATTTACTGTTGGTGCTATTTTTGACAAATTATTGAACTGACTTACAAGCTCAGGTAAAAGCTTGTGGTCTAGCAAACCTGGTGGGAATTGAATGCTATCATTCTCGGATAAGTAAGACGCAAGACCATATTTGAAAAACTCACGTTTTTCTTCGTCGTTCTTGAATTTGATTTCCTCTAGTTGGGTATTAAATTGTACTATTTTGTTATTGTTGAAGAATGTATTGCTATCGCTTAAGAATTTATCTACTGTAGTTCTTAAATTTGGCTTATTCGAAATAAGTCTTTTGTAATGAACATTTAACTGCTTTGGAATCTTATTATTCGATACCAGTAAATCCAGTTGTTGAACTTTACCGTCAAAAGTATCAAGGGTTAATATTTTGAAGATGAAAGCTCCATATAAAAATGAATCAAACTTTATAGGAAACTGTCTTATGGAATCTACTCCCAGATTTAAAACATCTTCCGGTACACGATTTTCAAACCCTGGCAATCTATTGGAATGTCTGTAAATAGGTTGATCTGGATCAGAATTGAGATTAGTCAATAATTCAAATCCAAATAGCTTCCAGTCTCCTGCCGGAGTAACAAATACAGAATTATTAACATCAACATTTCCATGTAAACATTGGCATTTCATGTTAATAAACAGTAATGATTGACCAACCGAATAAATCCCAAATAATTTGGCATCTTCAGAAATCTGACTCTTATTATTGCTTAAATAATTCTTCAAGGGTACAACTTGTTCTGTTATAATATATAAGAAGTTGTCATTTTCGATAAAATCAATTACTGATATAATTCCTGGGTGCTTAATCAATTTCGCCTTCTTGAAGCAATTTTTGGCTAAAGCAACATAGTCATTCAGTATATTCACAGGGTCTTTAAGATTAAATTCAAATATGGTAACTGGAGCATTATCGTTTTTTGGGTTTACACCATCATATACTGTCCAGATTGATCTGGTATCTGGGAAGGAAAGGGGAGGGTCAACAATCTTTTCCTTAATAGTATACGGGATAGAAGATCCCGTTAATGTACTAAAGGTCTTAGATAGAAAATTCATGCTACTTCTGCCGAATGTAAGTGTTAGATTTACTTATCTTTTATAGACAGCTTGTTGAAGTACGCGCAAAATATTTCGTGTTTCGTAACTATTCATAAACTAAATACTAATACAGATATTAATAAAGAACGATTGGACACTTGATGACACCATAAATCACCATGATGGCTCAATCTTTGAATCATTTAACTCGCTTATGGGCTTTATTCTCTTACCTCTACCAAGAATTCCTTTATTTGAATTCTTATATAAATCTTTGAAGTAATTAAGTAGGTCCTTTTCATCCTTCGGTAAACTATCTATCTCCTCTCTACGTAATTCAGCCAACTTATGCGTTAGCTCATTAAGAGTAGATAAATGGAACCTATTTTGATGTGACTTCAAATTCCCTAATTGAGTAAAAGATTTATCACAGTTGTCCAATTTACATTCGTAGGGCTTTAAATTCTCATGTGTTAATTTATGAGCCGCTAAATTTCCCTTACGACTGAAAGAACGCTTACACACATCACAGGTGAAAGGCTTCTCACCCGTATGCAAACGTAAATGAGTTCTTAAATTACCACCCTGGGTAAATCTTTTATGACAATATGAACATTCAAAAGGCTTATATCCAATATGAGATCTAACATGAACCTCTAAATGTGTGGACTGAGTAAAATATTTGAAGCAGTAAGGGCATTGCTTATTTTTTGCTTTCTTTTTCTTTGAGCCAGACGAATCATCTTCATTTTCAAACATATCTCCGTCCAATTTATCTTTCTGTGGTTTATCAACACCACCAACCAAATTTATAGGTTGTGGAATAACTCCATTCTCCTGTTTAATTTCTGGTGAAGCTAATATACTTCCATCTGGTCCTTGGGGAATAGGGTTGTTTACTCCTTTTTCACGAGCTTGTATAACCAACATTAATTGATCTATTTTTGTTGCTCCTAATAAGGGACGTCCATCTTCCGCTTTGACAAATTGTTGTGCCGGAACAAGATCTTTTTCATGTTCGTTAGGTTCATTTTGTTCAGTGCTCGTAGTTCCAGAAGGAACAACCTGTCCGGGCTGATATTGCTGTTGAAGTGGCTGATTTTGTTGGGGTTGATAATTTTGTAATTGCGTATAATACTGTTGCTGTTGTTGCAATTGTTGTTGTTGCGGTTGTGGTTGTGGTTGTGGTTGCTGCGGTTGTTGCATTGGTTGATAATTCGGTAAATTATTTTGATTAAATATACCTTGGTTTTTAATACCATCTGGTGGAAAACCACCAACAGCATTGGTTCGACCCTGGCCGTAGTCATATTGCTGTCGGACTTGTGGAGTTACGTAACTTTGTTGATCTAACGTAGGATACGCTTGTTTTTGTATTTGATTAAAGTTTTGTGGTAAAGATGTTTGATTCAAGTTAGCGTGGTAAGACGAAGGAGAAGTTTTCGGTGATTGTGGTTCGTCGTTATACCTGGTCGAAGAAGTAGAAGACATAGAAGAACTAGGTGAAACATGCTCGCCTTTCACTTTCAAATTATTATCATTATAGTTAGGAGTCTTTTCATTATAAACTTTATTGTACCCAGGCTTACTTGTTTTAGTATCAAATATATCTTCTCTTAATTTGGTATTAGGAACATTCGTATTACCTTCCAGTGACCTCTGAGGTTGAGTATTCTGTTGGTCATTTATAATTTTTAAAATCGAATCTCTTCTTTGCTCTTCATTCATGTTACTGAAATCAATGCTGCCGTTGGCAATTCCAGCAAGAATACCACTTATACTGCCACTGAGCGGCATACCACTTATACTGCCACTGAGCGGCATACCACTTATAGATCCCGCAAAGCCATTATTCAAACCATCCCAAAATGAATTACTTATGGGATAATCTACAGAACCACGCTTTGATTTAACACCCAGAAGCGATCCTTTGGGATCTTGTTGCAAGGCTAAGAAATTTCCCAAACTTTCTTCAAATTCAGCCAAAGGGATCAGAAAACTTCCTCCTTGACCATTCGATGTAGTGATTATGGGTTGGTTTAATTTTGTTTTATTTCCGCCTGCAGAAATATCGTTATTATTGTTGTTGCCCACATTCACACCATTAGCATTATTCGCCCTTTGTAAGTCACCATGTGATGCGTCACTTACAGAATTATTTCCAGATCCTGGTATTTGAATGAGTGAACTAAATATGCTATTCGATCTCGAAGAATTGCTTTGGCGTTGATTTGGATTGTTTTCATAGTCGCTACTATTCAGGCGTATTTGAGAATTAATTGGCGGAGGTAAAAAGAAGCTATCCCCTCGAGGTCTAATTCCATCACTTCCAATATTCGGCTGACCATTAATAGATGGATCTTGATGGTTCAAATAATAACTGGGGTAAGTTGCATCAACCAGCTGAGATTTTGGGGCCGAATCTGTATGAGAGCTGTCATTCTGGTTAGTATTACTCAAGGGATTACCATTGCTATTAGGGGCAGCAATCTGGTTATTGTATGTCAGATAGTTATTTAATATTGAACCTATCAGATCCTGCCTAGCGGGGTTGAACAAAAAGTTTATTTGTGCTAGACTTTGTCTGTTTCCTGCATTGGTAGGTGCAATGTTATTTCCAGCAGAACCTTGAACCTGTGTATCTTGATACTGACCATTATCAAGCCTTATAGCATTATTTTTCAGGCCTCCTTTGTCAATTTTGGCAACACTATCATGTCCCAAAGTGAGATTATTGTCACCCGTGTTAGCATTTTTAAACTGCCTAGGCTGGCTAGGACTATTCTTATCTCCATAAACAGCTGGGTTTGAATTGTTTCCACTATTTTTACTACTATTTGATGTCGGCGAAGTTGACGTCATCCGGTGGTCCTGACATGTTGACCAAAGGGCTGACTTATCCATTCTAAGTTTTACTTCAAATTATCCTATAAGTATGTTTAATTACTGCCGTAGGTTCCACTATTCCTATAAAACAACGCTAGCTGATTAAATTGTTCCCACCAGTTCTCTAAAGTCAAAATAATAATCAGCAATCTAATTTATTGATGTTATCTTCAGCTTCAAATATATTGAGCAAGAAATTTTTTTTATTTAATACTTGAAAGAATAATATAATAGGCACTTGATTAATTGTTTTCTGGCTAAGTTATAACTATTGTATACATTAACCTCGATATGCTCCAGTTATCACCAAGTAGCAAGAAATGGTGATCACTGTACTAATAGATTTGCGATCAATCATTCAGGGCACGTGAGATAGATTATCAACTGGGGTCGTCACCGGAGTTTACATTACATGCTAGTACAGCTTTACAGAATAAATTCTATAAACATACCTTAAACTTCTAGTGTACATAGAGATAAAAGTAATAGCAATATCCTGTTTATAAATTAGAATCGATAAATCACGTAGGTAATCGAGTTGGATGCAGCAAGGTTTCTAGCATTCCGTCTAAACAGCTTTGTAATTCAGTCATACCGTATTCATGATTTTTTAAGTAATGTGAAGGTCTGACAGCTGTGGAAGAGTCATCGTATACCATGCTATGTAGCTGGTCCATGAACAAGCTAATTATTTTGAAAAACTTGCCTATTTTAGATGAAACCATTGGCAAGTGCTCGAAGTCTGTAATCAAGAGGGACAACATAAGGTTTTTAATTAAGTTTGACATCTCAATCTTCGTTAGCTTATCCACTTGGTTCAATTGTAGCTTCGTATAAAACTGCTTGTAGTCATTCAGTATAGAATCTTGGGTTATGAGGTTGTTGGTGTTGCCAATCTGACCTTGCAATGATTTGACTTGAGATTCAAGTTCTGATATCTTCAGCGTGAGATTTTCTGCATTGTTGTGGGTGGTAAGCTTATTCTTTAGATACCTGATCTCATTGCTTAGTTCGTTTGTATGGCTCTTGGAGTTGGCTAGCTGCAAATTCAATTGATTGTTAGCTGCAGTTAGTTCGTCAATTTTCTCATGAGAGTCTTGGTTAGCGGTATCATTGAATACAAAGCTGTTGTCATGGGAAGATGTTTCGTCATTATCAATTGCATTAGGTTCTCTTTCACTTAGTTTAATTTCAAGTTCGTTTAGTTTAATTTGTAAATTAAGATTTTGCTTCTTTAATTGCTCAACTTCTAATTGAAGTCGTTCGTTTTGGCTGTCATTAATCTTCATTTTCGATATAGTCTCAGCATCCTGATGATGTCTGGGTCTTTGTTTGTTGATGGATCGTCTGGGTATATAACTAGTATCATTGAGGGAATATTCAATATCACTGTGATCAGAATTTGCAAGAATACTTTTATTCATAGATTGCGGATCGTATGATTCATTTTTAGCATTAGCATATTCTTGTGAATGTGGTGGTGTTGTAATGGCCGAGTCGAGCTCATTTTCTATTTCGTCAACGCTTGGAATTCTCTCATTGTTAGCATGATGAGGATGTTTAATATGAGTTGAATTCTTATGTTGTTCATGTGACGGCAGTTTAACTCTTTCCTCGTAGCTCGAGTTCATATACATTTTTAAGTTCGGTTTATCACTAATTGGGCCATTGTGTGAGATTCTTGAACCCTTCTTGCATAGAAAGCTACCATTTGTATTTGTGTGTGTCAAGCTTAGTCTATCATCGTCGTCATCTCCACTTGAACCCGAATCACTGCTCAATGCATTGATGTAAGACCGCTTCGGTGTCACGTACATATCACTATTATTCTTGGAATGATATTGACGGTGTGATTGGTGGGGAGATTTGGATTCTTGTTGTCTGGTCTTTGTTATAAGCGTTTCAATGGGTTTTTTAAACTCTTCTAGTTCCTCAAGGGACAACGACTCAATCATATGACGCAACTCGCTCATCGCCGCATCTTTATCAGTTTTGCCATTTCTCTCAATAATACTAGAATTGTCTTTTGTCTCTTCGACATCTGAAAGTGAACTGTTTCGGTTTCTGACCTGTCTCATACTAGAACTACTCTGTTTAGATACTAGTGGAGTCGAATGAGAAGAGATAAACGATCTTCCCTGCAACCCTGGGGCCCCCTGCCCACCTCCATTCGCCCGGTTCTTAAATTTCTTAATTTCAGGAGACTCATTCTCTTGCTCTGTTCGTATCCCACTTCGTTCGGCCCTGTGCTGCTGTTCATCGATCGCTCTCGCCAACCGCATCAACGTCGACGTATCATACCCGTTTTCAACCGTTATATCTCGCGACTCGTTAGATGTTCCAGTAAAGTCATTGGTGTCATCGTTTGATAAATGCAAGTACGACTCCGATATAGCCTGTGACAATTCGTCATATGTCATTCCATGCGATTTCATATAGAAAGTTGTATGTGATAGCTACTAACACTTAAAGAGTTATAAAATTATTAGGAATCTCAATAGCTGTTAAATATATGTTCTTATATATCAATATGGTCTTGTCCTTCGACCAATTATCCCTTTGATGCAATATACCTATACTAGTTTATACCATAAAACGTCTATATTGATGTATGTAGTTCTTTGTAAACAACGCGATAATTGTGATCTGAGGCTCGAACCGATGGCTTTGTGTCATTCGTTGTGGCCTATACTCGTACCATCAGAATAATTTTTTTCACTACCAGATGAAAGTAATCAACAGAAATCAGTTGCTAGTAGTAATTATATAACATAACAAGATATACACCATGGCAGAAGAAACAGTTGACGTATCGATGATCGATGAAAATGGTGAACAGGAACAAGAACAAGAACAAGAACAAGAATTCGATTTGGACAAGGTGAAGTTATTACCAGGGTCTTCGGAAGACGGAGCAGCAGCTTCGTTCCAAATCGTGGATGAAGACCATACTCTTGGAAACGCTTTGCGTTATATCATCATGAAGAACCCGGAAGTAGAGTTCTGTGGTTACTCGATTCCTCATCCTTCCGAAAACAAGCTTAATATAAGAATCCAGACATACGGCAACATATCGGCAGTGGAAGCATTGCACCAAGGGTTGGATAATTTGTCGGAACTCTGCTCTACGATTGAAGAGAAATTCAGCGAAAAAATTGAAGCTGGAGGTTACAAGACGGTCGAGCCATAAGTCTTACATGAGCTTATGTATGATCCATGCCCGTTGGGCCAATGCCGACGCATTGTACGTTTTTCTAGTGTAATATACTCCTTCTTTCTTGCATGTACTAATGATGTACTTTTGTCTGTTTCTATAGCATTTAATATATACTTATATTGGTATTTGTTGTGTAGCACGTCACAAAGGTTGTTCTTACTGAGCATCTTTTCTTTAAAAAGGGCTATGGAAAGCTCATCGCACACTTACTACCTAATACGGAAGTCATCGTTTTTTTTTTTTTTCTTTTTTTAAAAAAAAAATTCCTTCTTCTCATCACCTTAAATAGAAGACAAATCCTTCTAGACGCTAAAGTTTTATTATATTTTTATCAGAAATCTTTTTCCATTACACATAGAATAAATAAGAATTCAAAAATGTCATACAACAACAATAGTGATAGTTACGGTGGTGGTTACAACTCGTACGGTGGTGGAAATTCATATGGTGGTGGAAACTCATACGGTGGAGGCCGTGGTGGTGGATACGGCGGTGGACGTGGCCGTGGTGGATTTGGTGGCCGTGGTGGTCGTTTCGATGAAAGAGTTGAATTAAGTACTCCAGAATGGGATCTTGATTCATTACCAAAGTTTGAAAAGAATTTCTACAATGAACATCCAGATGTGACTGCTCGTTCTATACAAGAAGTCAATGCTTTCAGAAAGGAACATGACATGAAGTGTGAAGGTACCGACATTCCAAAGCCAATTACTAGTTTTGACGAAGCTGGATTCCCAGATTACGTTTTAAAGGAAGTTAAGCAACAAGGATTCCCTAAGCCAACCTCAATTCAATGTCAAGGGTGGCCTATGGCTTTAAGTGGTAGAGATATGGTTGGTATTGCTTCTACCGGTTCCGGTAAAACTTTATCATACTGTTTACCATCTATTGTTCATATCAATGCCCAACCATTGTTGAGTCCTGGTGATGGTCCTATTGTGTTGGTTTTGGCTCCAACCAGAGAATTGGCTGTTCAAATTCAACAAGAATGTTCCAAGTTCGGTTCTTCTTCCAGAATTAGAAACACCTGTGTCTATGGTGGTGCTCCAAAGGGTCAACAAGTCAGAGACTTAGCCAGAGGTGTCGAAATTTGTATTGCTACACCAGGTAGATTGATTGATATGTTAGAAACTAACAAGACTAACTTAAGAAGAGTTACATACTTAGTTTTAGATGAAGCTGATAGAATGTTGGATATGGGTTTCGAACCTCAAATCAGAAAGATTGTTGATCAAATTAGACCTGATAGACAAACTTTGATGTGGTCAGCTACTTGGCCAAAGGAAGTTCAAGCCTTGACCAGAGATTACTTGAACGACCCAATTCAAGTCACTGTTGGTTCATTAGAGTTAGCAGCTTCTCACACTATTACTCAATTAGTTGAAGTTGTTACCGAATTTGAAAAGCGTGACAGATTGATCAAGCATTTAGAGACTGCTACTGCTGATCCAGAAGCAAAGTGTTTAATTTTCGCTTCTACCAAGAGAACTTGTGATGAAATCACTAACTATTTAAGAGCAGATGGATGGCCTGCATTAGCCATTCATGGTGACAAACAACAAGGTGAAAGAGACTGGGTCTTGAAGGAATTCAAGACTGGTAAATCCCCAATTATGGTTGCAACAGATGTTGCAGCTCGTGGTATTGGTATGTATTGCATATGAGAACTTTGTTCTTAATTTTTTTTTTACTAATTAATAATGGGTTTAGGCATAGGAAAGGGAGACAATTAAGTCTAATGATGGAATGAATTTTTTATTTTTTTTTTTTTTTATTTTTCCAAGTCACCTTTTAATTAATGAGGACTTCTACTTAGAAAGGGAATGAATATGTGATGAAACGGAACAATAGAGTGTCTGGAACATTCTAGGAACAAGGAGATTGAAACTAGATATTGGAAAGCAAATCCAAATTATTTAATACTCACTGGATACTGTGGACTCTTAAGTAAAGAAACAGAAATTAAAGCAAAATCTTTATTTTCAAGAGGTGGATTGAACTATTCACTGATGATTAACATCTTTACCTCAGAGTTTAACAAATCTTGATAATTATTGTCGTCAAATTATAACTAATTAGCCTTTGACTGATCGACAATTATTGGAGTAAATAATGCTTTCTATATATCAATAAATGGAATTTCTCTCCTTCTATTTTCGCTATCATGTACTTCTTGTAGTCTAAGTCGAAGTAGCAATTACTATGCTTTTATTCAATATCGACTAGTATTCGTGCTGTTGAATTACTTACTAACTTATTTATAGATGTCAAGGGTATCTCCTACGTCATTAACTTAGATATGCCTGGTAATATCGAAGATTACGTCCATCGTATTGGTAGAACTGGTAGAGCCGGTACTACCGGTACCGCCGTTTCCTTTTTCACCGACAACAACTCCAAGTTAGGTGGTGATTTATGTAAAATTATGAGAGAAGCTAACCAAACCATTCCTCCTGAATTAATGAGATTTGACAGAAGAAGTTTCGGTAGTCACATAAGATACGGTAGAGGTGGTGGCCGTGGTGGTTTCAGAGGTGGCCGTGGCCGTGGTGGCTTTAGAGGTGGCCGTGGTGGATACCAATCTGGTTCTAACACTGCTCCACTTGGTAACAACCGTCGTTACTAAGTCTGATTTCCAGCTTCTCGCTTCATTTATCATTTATTCATTTATTCATTTTATAGATCTTAACCGTTTAATAGTAATATAGTTGATTTTAGTAAAGTCGCATTATCTCGTAGATAAGATTTTCAAGTTTCACATGCAAATTCAAATCGCATTTCCATGTGATCTTCCCAACACCCTTTGCAACTTCTTCCTAGTGGCCAATATATACAGTTGGGCATTTGCCGATCTGACGTATGGAAAATACTAGTTTATATTGAAAAGTTTTTCAATTTATTTCTTGAGGTATACTAGAAAGAACCTAACTTGCTATAATTGAAAAAATATTGGTCCTTAAATCACTTTTCTTCACAGCAATTATAGATCGATAGGCTTTATACGTACTAATTTTTGAATTTATACAGTCAAAGAGAAGCTGCAAGTATGAAGGAATCTAAGGTTCAGAATACAATAGCAGGTGCTAAGGGTATAACGTTCTCCGGGGATACTTTCATTGTTCCGGAAACCCACGATATGGTGAAAACGCTATTTGATCCAATGGTCAGAAAATCCTATTGCGAGATGATCATTTTGGTGATATTAGCAGCCAATGGCTTGGTTTTTTGGCTAATTGACAACAACACGCTTAGAATTGAGATCTTCATTGGATTGTACATCTTCTGGAGATTTTCGTACAATTTTGGAATTGGGTATTTACTTAACGTGCAATCTAATCACCACAAACTCGTGAAATGGGCAGAAAAGGCTAAAATATTTGAACAGAATGGTTCTTTAGTATCCAGGTTTGCCGAAATTGAGATTAAGTCTCAAATGGGTCCCGAATATAGTGTTCAGAAGTACCCAATTGAATTCAATACTTGGCTCTTGTTCCGTAAGGTGGTAGATTTGATCTTGATGCTGGACTTCACCACTTTTATATGTCTTGTTATAGTTTGTGCTATTAACAAGGACTATCAATTCATCAACACTGATCAGCAAGAAGTATGGTTAATCTCTACAAGATTAGTAATTGGGGCTATTTTGATATTGTTTAATTTATGGGTTAAAGTTAATGCTCATAATACTATTAAAGATTACGCTTGGTATTGGGGAGATTTTTTCTTTCGTCAAATAAATAATGAAGATTTGATATTTGATGGTGTTTTTGAAATGGTTCCTCATCCAATGTATTCTGTTGGTTATGTAGGATACTACGGATTCGCCCTTATCTCGAAATCATATACTATTTTAACAGTTGCAATATTTGGTCACTTTTTACAAATGATCTTTTTACATTACATCGAAAACCCTCATATCGATAAGATTTATGGACCATCGGGAAATGAGGCAGATATTGAGAAACTTTTGAAGTTGAAAGATTTAAGACATTTCGATAATATTAAGCCGTTAGTTGGATTATGGAACTTCACATGGTTGAGGGCTTCTGATATGACCAACTTGATCATGGTTGGTACATATAGTTTTACAATTCCTTACCTTGCATCATTAGTAGATACAGTTAAGGTTGGCAATACCGGCATAAATCCAGGAAATGTATTATTTGCGTTAACCATTATCATCAAGGTTTTTGAATCATTGTCAATTAATATATTGCTTATCTTACAAAGTTACTATAAAACGTTTACGAAGTGGTACCTTTCAAATGATATATCATCTGAAAAGACATTAAACAACTGGTCTATAATGTACAATTCTTTAATCAGTTTGACCTACTCGTCTTTTTTTGGTTTAAACTTTTATCACATCCTTATTGGTTTAGAATCTGACAAGCTCTTTATCAATAGCTGGGTTTACTTGCGTATATTTCTTGGAATCTTATTAGTTTTTACACAGGCTTGGATCAATTCTTCAATTATAGACCTGATTGGTTATTTCGGGTGGTTTTACGGTGATTTCTTTATTCCAAGGACTTCTCAACAAAGGGCTCATTTAACTAAAGCCGGTGTTTACCGTTATTTGAACAATCCAGAACAAATATTTGGTGTATGTGGCATTATGGGTGTGACTTTGATTATTCCATCTTTAGAAAACTTAACATGTTGTGTTTTATGGGTTGCTAATAATTTCATTAGAATTAATTTCATCGAGAAAGCTCATATGATTAAGATTTATGGCGAACAAGAAGTTATGAAGGATTCTGGTGTAACAAAAACCTTTAAGAAACATTTGATTCCAGGAGCTATTCAAAGAAGGTTAAGTAGAGGCTCAGAAGATAATTCTAATTTACTTAATCAACACAGAAGAAAGAGTAGTATTATGGCAGGTGCAACAGATTCTTTGGACAATTTTATCAAAGAATTGAAAAGTTCTAATACTCGTTTGACAAAGCAGAATATTCTTGAGTTGTCGCAAAATTTGTACTTTGAAAATTCAGATTACAAACTTGCCATCAAGAATTTGAATACAACTGAGAATAATTTGTCTACCGCAATCATTGGAGAACCGATTGAAGTTGAGTGGAAAGCACCTCCAAATCATTCTTCAAATGATTGGATTGGATTGTACAAAACGGTTCAAACTACCTACTCTCGTTATAAAACCTTGATTTCATCATCCGGACGTTGGACACAAGTAACTTCAAATTCAGGTTCATATGTATTCAAAGGTGAAAAATTATTCTGGGAAGAAGGTATTTATGAATTTAGGTATCACTTAGATGGTAAGCATGATGTTGCCTATATTTCAGAGCCGTTCGAACTCATATCAGATAGCATTGAGGTTCCATCTTCAATTGAAGATAGTATTGAATTAGCTAATGAATTGAAATCCAAGGTTTTTGATAGAGCTATTGCCGGTTTTGGCTCTATTGATTCGCCAATTGATTCAACTGTTCAAAAATCTGGCAACATTATTCAAACCTACAATCGCTTAGCATATGTGATTTCTAAATCCACTGGTATCCATATTAATGCAAAGGTCTTTCTTTACGCTGACAGTGAAAACGAATTAACTGTGCATAAGTTAAGTTTAAAGCTCATAAATATTAGAAAAGTATTGGAAGATTTGTCCCATGCCCAATATGCATTGAGCGAAGAAAAGAAAGAAGAGTAATTGTTAGCGCTTCCCCTTTACCCATAAAATGTAGATTTGTAAATAATTATTCTATAGAAATTACACGAAAGAAAATATTTTTATTTTAACTGGTAGACATTAATTTGATTTTGATTCCATTAAGCTTAACAAGTAACCATTGATATTACTTCTAATTTGTTTAGACATCTCATTACAGCCATCAATTAATTGTGTAACAATAGTTTCATCTAGTTCTTCTTGTTTACCTTCTACCCAAAACCCAACTATTTCATCGTTTCTTAAATTCATGAAGCTTACAAGGCAATCAATACTGTCTTCATTATCAATAGTATCAAGAGAGTATATTGGATCAAAAGTTAATTCGTTGGACTTCTGGTTCAACTTAACTTGTCCACTGGTTACGATATCTTTCAATTCAATTCCTGAATCCACTAATGCTAACGAAGAACAATTAATAATCCAGTTAATTAAGTTAAGCAACGAAGAATTCGAATTTGGATTGGAATTTGTCGAAATGACTGAAACAAATATATCTATGGTTGATTTGGGATATTTTTCTAATAGTATGCACGGTAATAATGATGTTTCTAAATATGAAGAAATTTTTTGTTCTATGTTTGTTAACGAGGGCCTACCATTATTGTTAAAATTAGTAGCTTTACCATTGAATGTAATTTCGTTTGGTTGCGTCACATAAGGTAAAAATTTACATTCTACTGAGAAAGATGCACGATCAATAAAAGAACCCCTAATAGGTCTAGGACCAAATACAGACACCTCAATTATAGTATCTCCCACTTCTAAGTATGCTGAACCATTAGCATTTGTAACTAATCCTGACTTTAAAAACATTTTCCTAACTTCATCATTTCTTTTCTTGTCTACTGTTGCAGGCTTATCACTCAAATCAGAGGAAATCCCAACAGCTGGTAGCTTCGCATTCACAGGGCCTAATAACCTTCTTCTATCACTCATTTGGTATATTATGCTTTGATTACTACTCAATAATAATAAGATATACTTCTTGGTAAGTTAATATTGAGATGAGCCAAATCGTTTCACTCACGTGAAAACCTAGACGCTTAAATAAGTTACATATATTTTAGAAGTATATAAGGTGCAAAGTAAGCTATCCTTGCTATATAAGTATAATAGAATTAATTCATATGGTTAAATGGATCCAAATAATCCATCAGATTTGAATTACCAAGAATTGAAAAATCAAAGTTATCAACGTTCATTTGCGGTTCAAAATTGTCCACATTTTCAAGATTGAAGTCATTATTGGAGGTGTTGGTATTTACTTGTTTAGCATTCTTTTCCAACATATATGGCGGTAAAATTCTACCAAAGATTTGTGCATCAAGCTGGTCAATTACCCCAGGCAAGTATTCACCGCTTTGTTGATTACTAGACCTCTGCGAAGTTGAAGGTGTATTTGATGCAAAATTTTGAATAGGATTCGATTGATCCAGATATGCTGTAGGAATGGCACTGGTTTGGGATTGAATATCATACGTATCAGTATAGTCATTATTAAATAACAGGTCAATAGATTTCTTACTATCAACGGGTGGTTGTGACGTCGCCTGTTTTGCTGCTTGTTGCTGTTTTTTCTGTTGGGAGGCTGTTCTAAAGTCGCTCGAAATTGACTCCTCCTTTATTTTATTCGATAATGGATACTCAAAATTATTCATACTAGCAAAATTGTTGATACTGTCAAAGTTCAAAGAAACATTTGGGGGTTCCTGGTTGGTGCTATCGACGATGGATGGCGGTTGTACAGACACAGAATCGTTCTTTCCCTTCATGGCTGTTCTTCTATTAAGCTGTTCAAATAAATTGTTCAAGATATTGTAAATTCTCATGGATGAGTTGGAATTATTCTTCAAGCAATCCAAGACTTTTCTACCAATCTCAATATCATGTTTAATCATATCAATGTTTAAGTCATCATCAAATAAAATGCCTGCATAATTAACTCCAGACTGATTCAAGTTATTATCATGAGCATAGTGGAAATAATATATTAGGCAAGCAATTGAAAAGAATATAGTGTACATTGAAAACCAATATGTTCCCACTAATAAATTCTTATCAATCATCTTGTTAGCCAATTTGACCACCATTCTTGCAACTTTTATACAATTTCTACCACGTATAAGTGACCTTGGATCAGCAGCTTGATAATGAGTACCATTGCTGATGAAATGAATGAAAGGACGATACAACATGATTTGACAATTCAAAAATGCTAAATGTAGGTAAAAATTTGCTAAAATAAACCTGTCTGGTATACCCTTACCAGAGTCCACATCATGCGGATCCGTAGGTCTCAATTCCTTTGGTAATTGATCTAGCCAAACTTTGAGTTCTTGTTCTAAATTGGTAACCTTCGAGTGGATGTGATTCGGAGACGGGTTGTTGTCTGACGACTGTTTTTTAATCTTTATTGGATAAAGATCTCTAACAATGTGGGAAAGTATCATCATTACTTTCGTATGGTGATTTGCACATCCGGAAGATGATAATTTTCCTTGCTGTTTATCATAATTGTACATTTCATGAGTGATGTTTTCATCATCTAATTCTTCTGGTAATTCCTGGTCAAATTCATCTTCAGAAAGCGATCTAGGTAAACCTAATAAAGAATTAATGTAAATATCCATTTTATAAATAGTGTAGAATAATCTTTTCCTTGTATCGACTTCAATTGGATCCAATTCTCTCTTAGAATTTTGAAAAATTGATAAATTACGATGTAACCCTTCTTTTATAGCACTCCTCAAGGCAATACCTATATAAGAATAACATGTTGATAGTCTTGCTGAACATTGGAGATACATAATCATCATAACAATGGTTTGAATTGAAATAATATCACCAACATCGGTTATATCTATCAATTTTCTGGCTTCCAAAAAGTACTTGAATCCATCATCTTCTAGAGTATTATTATTAGGAGATGACTCGTTAAACAGCCTGGAGAAAAGCAGCCCAACAGCTAAAATTGAGTACAAGAAGGGTAAAAACTTTTGTTGACGATCAGTAAAGTTCACTGGATCTAGGCCATATAATAACTCAACTTCTTTTAAAAGTGATGGTCTATGGTAAAACCGGAACAAAACACAAGCCTTATTCCAGCATGTGAAAATCAATTGTAGTGCTGTGTCCTTTGAGGGTAACATAAGTTTAAATTCTCGTCCATCTGAATTCTCCTCCACGGACGAAACCGAAGGTTGGCGATCTAATGTAGATGGTGATGAAGATGGGGTAGGTCCATCCAGATATAAATCCATTACCTCATTCAAATTAACCTGTCCGTTGCCCTTATACTGTACATATTGATAGACCTTTTGAAATTTTTCATAGTCAAAATGTATTTGTTTTTCGTCAAGAAGGTTTAACTTAAGCTTTGGAAATAACAAATTTAGGATATTCTGGCCAAGAACTAAATTGCTATTTACAGGCGATGTGGTTGATATTTCTTTTGACTGACTAAACGGCACTTTGTAACTGTTTATTATACTCGAGTTTCCTGATGGAATTGGGATGCCGCTATTCTTCTTATTCCTTATATTGGGTTGATCATAGGCACAGTTATATGAATAAACTGTGCAATGGATACATGGTTGCTTACCATCACACTTAACTTTCTTCTGTCTGCAATTATCGCAAGCTCTAGTGACTCTTCTTCTCTTCTGTTCTATTTGGCGTTTCTCTGAATTGTGAGCATAAATCGATTTAGTTTGATTATTGTCAGTATTGAATTCATTAGAATTACCAAGAGTGTCTCGTTTGCTCATCCTTTCTCTCCATTAGAGTAGTTGTATAACTGTTGTCAAATACTGTTAAGTGCTTGCAATAATCAACTGGTAGTAAATTTGTGAGCGTTCAATCACGAACTTTTTAAGTGAGACACACACTACAATGGATAACCTCGAACTAGTTTCTTGTATTAACAATGAAATCAAAAAAAACCTATACATGCTACTAAATTTTTAAAGGCTTTTCTAATAGATGCCCCATTCTTTCGATCTTGGTGCTCAAATATCCTTCAATTTCCTTTGACTTGATACCGTTATCAGTTCTCCACGCCAATGGAATCATAGGAACTCGCTCTAACACCTTTACATCTCTATTTTTACCTTCGACAGCCAAAATCTTGTCTGGATTGTTAGTTAATAAATTAATTTCAGCTAGTCCCAAATCTAATAAGATTGCAGTAGCTAGCGAGAATGATCTACCATCAGCAGGGTGTCTTAATATCAAATTAGCTTGCACAGTGTCGGCTCCTAAATCTTGTAAATTATATGCCTTCAACTTTTCTCCTAAACCTATACCTCTACCTTCTTGCCTCAAGTAAACAATACAGCCGTGTCCAGCATTTCCCATGATTCTTCCGGCTTCGTCGAATTGTTCACCGCAGTCACAACGGGCAGACCAAGCAGTTTCCCCCGTGTAACATTCAGAGTGGATACGCACTAAGCATGGATTATTCATGAAGGTAGTGCTTGGTTCTCGTATAAGTTGACCATCTGAATCAAACTTCAAAGACTTCTTAGAGTGGCTGTCATGGTCAGCATCAACTCGTCCAGGAAATAACTTGCCCACGTACGCACCTCTTGTCATCCTGTCTTGCTGGGTATCGTTTGGTCTCTTTGCAAACAATGATTTCGAACGAACATCTTCTCCAAAAACTATTGCTAAATGCTCCTTATTATCAATATTATTCTCATACAAATGTAAGAAAATCTCAGGTCCATGTGTGGTTGGAATCCTTGCCCTGGCCATACATCTAACTTCTGGTAACTTTTCATGTATCGGTAAAGCGTTTCTCACCTCATCCGGTACCTTTGGTGGAACCTGGGGAGTTTCGGAAACTGGTACCTGCGATGGTGTCAACGTAGGTGATAAGAGTGGCATATTATTGAAGTTACCAGCAATCATATCGTGGGCTTCGTTGGAATCACTTGTATTTACCTGCTTTCTGGAGGGAACCGGTTGTTCTATACGGGATGCCATATTTCGTCTATGTTCTTTAATTTGTCACTATTACTAATAAAAGTAATAAATTACACAATCTGCTTAATTTCCTTGAAATAAGTCTTACTCAAACTTACAAATCACCAGTGAATCAAGTAGGATATTCGACTCTTTTAAATTGTTTTATATCGCTACGAATATTAACGAAATTCTTATTGATATCCAATTAAGAAATGTTCCATACAATTCTGATTGAAATGTAATTTTGATTGACCGGGGTTCGGATTTTTAGCTCATTTACGCTTTTGATAGAATTAGATAATAGGCACCGAACAATAAATTGAACGGTAGGGGCAATGTCAATGTCAAAACCATAGGCGAGATCATAAGGCTTATAGCGATTATATATTTCATGTATTCATTGTTTGAATAATTTAGCCAATTGAGAGTTACCGTACGTAAAAGGTTTATTCATTTCACGTGGAAATCTACACCTCCGAACCGGTAATACAGTAATGCATTAAACCTAGGCAGTTTATAAATGGGCATGAATGGGCATTGTTACAAGTAGCTATGGTACATTCCGGTATAGGAGGATTGGTAGGCCATTTCAGACCGTCTAGTGGTTGAATTTGAAGTGTCATTCTGGTTCGTGATGGGATTTTAGCAATAGTGCGACATTCTGGTGCCAGCATCGGAATTGTCCTTACGAATCGGGTTTGTAGACGTGATAATACATTCGAGACGTACGATCATACAGTAGCGATTTGAAGGCATGTATTGGTTAGCTAGAAACTCGATGAATACACTTCGTTCCAAGCAAATTGCGTTTGGCGCAACAGCTGCAGCAGTTGTGTCAACTCAATTTTTTTTCAATTGGGGCGTAAACAAGACAATCTATCCTCCAAATAGCACCACCACTGATAATAGATTGTTTCCAACATATGTTTATGACCGTAATGAATTAAGCGATTTAATACTCTTTAAAGAACCATTGTTACTCAATTTCACCTATCAAGGGGACAAAAAGTGTAACAAGCTCACACAATCGTTGTTCGATATTTTAGCCTACAAGGAGAACTATCCATTAGATAGTAAGAAGAATCCGGTGAACTTGGCGAATATATCGTGTGATACGCCTGGTGCTAGAGATTTGATGCTCACGTATGGAATCAACAAGGTGCCATCTGTACTTTGTTTACACAAGCAAATTCCATACGATAAATATGTTCCTAAGGATCTCGAAGGCGGGGTTAATGAACAAGAACTTAAGGCTTGGATAGCATCTGTTGCTAAATGAGTTTATGAATTATGTTTATCTATTTACAAAACTGTATATTTTATTTACAATAAAGGAGAGCTAATCGCAGCTTCCATCTTTCCATCCATCTTTCCATCTCTGTTTCCACAAATTACAATCGAATTTTTCCTTTCCTAGCTTAACGTTAACCTCGTTATGCGCATCACAAAGCCATTTACCAAAAGAGTCCTGGGTTTCTACCTTAGGTTCAGATTTCTTAGAATATTCAACAAAATCATCTCTGCAATACCAACAAGGATAGAAATTACCAAACAACTTCATAAATTGTTTCAAATCAGCTTGTTCTTTGTTCGATGGCTTTTCTGGATATGTGGCGGCAATGGAATGAAGTAAAGTCCATGAAGATTTACCTATTTCTTCAACGTCTGGAGGGCAAGGTTTTGAAGTAGCAGATGCAGAAGCTTCCTTAGATGGCTTTTTCGTCTTAGGTGTTGCTGCTACTGAGCCACCATGAGTTGCCATTTGAAAGTCTAAAAGCGAGTTACATGTACGACATCTAGAATGGTTAGTAGTTGATCAAATGTAAATTTTTCAGCCTAGCAGTACTCACGGTTTACCATCTTTATCGTAAATGATTTTACGGCCAGTAGCACCAAAAACTGGCTTGGTATTGTTTCCTTGGTTGGAGGCTTTATCTTCCTCGGTCATAGCTGTTAGCTTTACTCTATTACTAGAACTAATGTGCAATCAGTATTGCTAATGGTCTGATTACTAACAAAGAGTATACTGATAAAATATTACACAAACCTGAATAAGACAGACTTATTGCAAAATACTAAGAGTAGGGTTTACTGTGTAGCTAAAGAATATATAATTAATTATGGATATGCCTAATTCCGGGATGCGTAATACAGCTGAAATGAATCATGACGTTAAAAGAGTAGAGCGATATAACTAGTTAGCGAGTGATTTTTGCAAAATAGTTCTTTGTCTAATCACTTCATCACATAACTCACCAATTTCCTTAGATTTGATGGCCGATCTTGATTCATAGAATTGGTCCAATTTGTATTGGAAGCCAAATTCCTGTTCGTAATCCCATGCCTGTTGAATCATTTCATATTTGTCAACATCCTTAACGTATCTTGCCTCAATGCATCTGATTTCTTCGTAATCAAGCCATAATTCCACTATGTCTTTGGAAAACTTAGGGTTATAAGGTTCGATCAATGACGATAAGAATTTGATCGATTCGAATTCACGACGATGCTTTTCTGGCTTCGTGACTCCGTCGAATGGTGTGATATCGCCTACCAATGCTTCTGCGATATCATGGATCACAGCTATCTTAACACACTTGTCGATATTGATCTCATTGTTTGGAATGACCATAGAAATAATCGACATACGATACATGTGGTCACTAATACTCTCGACACTGGCGTTTGGTATGTTATGATCAACCCATCCGGTTCTCTTCTGGGTTTTTAATAAACGGACTATTTGAATAAATGCTAAAATATAGTTTATTTTCTTGTTTGGGGAATCAGGGATTAATAAGTTCTTAATGCCAGCTGGAACAGCATCCTCAGGCATCCATAATTTCTCTTCTGTCATGCTACTTATTATAAAACGCAGTGTTCTATTAAATGTGATAAGAAAGTTAATAGATCAAGTTTCTGTTTTGAAATAAAGATCTCAAAATGTAAACAAAAAAATTTTCTTTATAGGAAGTCGGTCAGACCCTACCAAATTAATTCTAACAACCCTACGATATAAACTTACAGAACGGCTTCCGTGATATACTGGGAATGCAAGCATTGAATTAATATACTCTCTCGTAATAAATGGTATGCCACATAGGTGTTTGGGGCTCTATTTCGAAGTTTACTCCAGTCTTCTCACGATAGGACTGACCTTGCAACTTTGGCACTACAGATATCCTCTTGTAGTTATCCAAATATTCCTCTAAATGGCATACCCATTGAAATGCTCACATCTCTACAGTTCATTGAAGATATTAAAATGGTAATTTGATTAAGAAATAAAATCTTTCGGTACTAAGAAACACGTAGTCAATTATTTATTTGAGTAAAATATACAAACAATTCATTACTTAGTTTATTTAAGCAACTAATTCAACAACACCACCAACAGCTCTGATTTTTTCTTCAGCTAATTCAGAAACAAATCTGGCCTTGACGATGACTGGAACTTGTGGTAATCTACCCTTACCTAAGACCTTACCGTAACCGTGGGCTAAGGTGTCAATGACTGGAGCAGCAGAAGCAGAAGCAGACTTTAAGTATTCGTCCTTCTTGTCTTCATCAACTAAAGTCCATAATTTGTCTAAGTTGATTTCTGGCTTCCAGAAGTGGTTTCTTTGTTTGTGGAAGTATCTCATACCAACCTTACCGAAGTAACCTGGATGGTATTTATCTAAGTTGGTTCTGTGGTGATGTTGACCACCAGCCATACCACGACCACCTGGATTCTTTCTGTGCTTACCAATTCTACCCTTACCGGCTAAAAATATGTTAGTATTACGAATTCTCCATCCTCGTTGGTAGAAACATCCAAATATATATCCCTGGTGACCCTGTATCCCTATTAGTGCACATCTCTAGATGTCTTGCCTAATTATGTCCACCAGTAAAAAATTTTTCAAATTGCTTATTTGACTCCACTTTCTTCTTCAACACTACGCCCAATGCAAGTGTATCCTCTTTTCATCCTTATCATCGTATTTCTATTCTACAGGAGTCTTAACATTCACTTTCATCTCAAACTTCTCTTATTTCTTCATTCCCAAGTCTTTCATATTCTCTGTTTCTACCACAATCATTGTAAGGAACTAGTACATACCGGAAACGTGACCTCTGTGCTTTCTGGTTTTGGTTAATCTGGTTGGCATTATTAATGTTATAGATTAAGCTAAATAAAGAGTAAACGAACAGAACTTTCAAGATTCTTTTGAAGTCTATAATTTTTCATCAAAGGTGCGACCGAGCATCACCAACTTCCCATACTTAGTGAAAATTACACAAAAAAAGCTTTTTTCCAATAAGCAGTCACATAATGTGTTTCGCACATTTAGTCTCTTTTGGTATCGTTTATAGGGGCCAAACCCTAATGTTAGTCTTCGAAAGTGCTTTTGGAACATATGCAAATCATAGAAAGCTAGTTTATTCGAATCATACGAACCACTTAGCATATACGTAGGATATTGAAACTTGAATGATTCTAGAATGATAGGAGAATGAAATTGTAGATTTAGTTTTTATATGTGATATTTATTGTAGTCTAATATTATGCAGTGATAACACACCCACAAAGAATATTGCAGCCAAAACCAGGGAGCACTGTGAAGACAAAAATAGACTCAATCTGTTCTGAGTGGTAATCCCCATACCTCTTCGTATGAATTTGCACCTTTTGTTTCTGGAATCCAGTACTTGATGAAAACAAAGGATACGGCACACATGAGGGTGAATATGAAGTAAACTCCCCCACCTATCCAGGAATTTTTTAAAATGGGAAACAAGAAGCCGACTATGAACGTGGCAAGCCAGTTCATGGTGGTTCCCCAACTCTGGGCCAGTGCCTTAGCCTTTGGTTGGGTAACTTCGCTGACAAGGAGGAATGGGATTGGTCCCAAACCGACTGCGAAAAAGGTAATGTAGGAAAACGTACCTACTATAGATAAGATTGAACTGCTGGAGATGATTGCAATGCCCATTATGATTGTCAGGAGCCCCATAACAGATACAGATGTTAATAATAGGGGTTTACGGCCCAATTTATCTGTGAGTGGTGCAGCACCAAACGTAACGACGACATTAACTACCGAGATGAGGCAGTTGATGAATATTGCATGTTTGGGAAATATTGCGACAAGCACCGAGACACCGTAGAAAATTATAGAATTTATACCGCAGAATTGTTGAAAAATCAAGATACCAGTTGCAACCACCTTAGAGTTATGGAATTCAGATGATTTCATGTAAGCTTCGAGGGAGACCGATGAGTCTCTTGAAGGGGTTATATCTTCATTGACATCACTATCGGTAGTATCCAAAAGAGTGTCATTTTCAACCGAGTTGTCACCTGGATTTCTCCATCTATGTACCTCGTTTCTGGATTGGACGTAATCGCCTCCTCTCAATTTTTGTAAAACAGTTGCAGCCCTACCACTAAATCCTTTATTCAACAACCACATTGGGGACTCGTCTACGTAGAGTGCAATAAGCAAAAAATTAGCAAGAGCAATGACGGCTCCCATTATCAATAGCAACCTCCAATTGTTATCATTACACCAGACCAATGCTAACAACTGAGTAAACAAGATTCCAATATTTACAGATACCTGGTTCATTGAACCCAAAAAGCCTCTATAATCAGAAGGAGCTATCTCATTGATAAATATTGGGGTCGTCACTAGAGCGGCGCCTGCGCCCAATCCTGCTATAAATCTTCCCAATAATAGCATATAATAACTGTTGCTTAATCCGTTTAGCATAGAACCAAGGAAATAGATACTGCAGTGTATCAATGACGTCTTTCTTCTTCCAAGCTTATCAGCAAACGATCCAATATAGAAGGATCCTATTAACCCACCAATGCTGAATATAGATGTTATTAAGCCTACATTTTCGGGACTCAATGGAATACACTTTGCAAAATTATGACTACCGAACCATGATTCTTCATAAGGGACTTTTCCTGGTTTGGAGGTTTGACAAGATATAATAGATTCCGGCGAATTCAATTCGGCCATATGATAACCGAATTGAAGTGAACCTAAACATATTATAGCAATTGTTGATATCAACCTACCTGTTAATTGAGGTTTCTGAGCGACAGGGGATGACATTTACCTATTTTTCCTATCCAATTGGTCTATGAAGTTTTGTCAACCAAAAGTTTACCTGATTACTTTATCTTATCGAATCCCTTTCGCGCTACATTCTGTTCGATCTCAATAATTAATACGAATTAAATTATTGTATATTATTCTATATACTATATTATGGGTAAGAAGTTCCCTATAATCATCATAGGAATACCAAATACATCTCTTTTCAACGTCCACATGCATCCTGTTCTTATCTTAACATCCTTCTTTGGTGTCAAGAGAGTACATTCTGTCATTGTAGCTCCCAAGAAATCACCAAATGCTATCTTCAGAAATAGCTGAAAATACTCTACGACAGACTTATCGTCAAGAAGTTCGACTATAAACTTTTTTGATTCCAATAAAAGTTCTTCTTTTTTCCAACCTGTCAATACGCAAAATTCGTTTCCTACGTATGCAATTTCGCCGGTCCTTCTCCAAACAATAGTTGGAGTTCCACTGACACGAATGAAATTATCGTATGTAAGTAAGGTCCTTTGAAAGCATTGCTCCATGAAAATTAAATCACTTTCTTTTAACGAATTTGTACAAGCAATAAATGAAGGACGATAAGCAGCTATTGATTCTGCCATTTTGACCAACATTTCCTTGGGGAACCTCTGACGTAAGTAAGCAATCAAGGAATGATATCCAGGGGTATATGAGAATGGTTTGGTGACATTTGCATATATTTCGTCCGGTTCCTTAAACGTCTCCTTTTTTTCGTGTAACTTTCTATCTTTGGTATATTCATTTGTTTCTGGGGTTATTCCTATAGCAAATGACAACAGCAGCTTGGAATTTCTTTCATGGTAAACAGATGGATCAGCTGCCTTCATATCTTCAATAGCTGTTATGACATCTGGATAAATTAATTCATGATCGGGACCGGTGGGGCCTAAGAAATACTGATTGATACTTACGTCACATTTGGGATATTTCGATGAATAGTAGTGTTTGTTGTTATTGGTGCCATTTTTAGATGTTAATTGTGAACTTTTGCTATTAAAAACAGTATCATTTGGAGAAGATGCATGAGATGAACCGGAGGTATAATTGATAGCTTTATTTTGGCCGAAGTTATTCAAACTACTGGGAGATGTCGCACTCCTTGAATCGTTACTGTTCGTGTTAGGTGCATTGTGAGGAAGTACTGAAGGCGATAAAATTGAATTTGGAGTTCCTTCTGCTGATGTGGTACCATTAACATTAACAAAATTGTCTTGAAGAATGCTAGAAAGCGTCGCATATTCTAAATCTGCTGCTGATGAAAGGAAATTTGTTCGTCTTGGCTTATTATACAGTGGTAACCCCTGTTGTTGCATATGCGGATTTATAGGTGGTTTCAGTAGATCCTGAGCGGAACTGACATTAGCATTTGGATCTTGATTTATTTGACCCGTATTAGATGGAAATAAATGACTATTGGGATACATTCCAAAAGCCCCGAAGGCCTGATTTATATCATTATTGGGATTGGTTGTGGTCATAGGTGTATCAAAGTCCGGCTGCAGACTCTCTTGAAAAGGACTATTTTGATAATTAACACTATCACCTTTACCTAGTTCGTAAGGCGGTGATTGCGATAACCCTTCAGGCCTACTTAATACATTTGGTGGTACATCAGCTAAATATTTCTTTCGTTTTCTGGGTGCATCTTGACAGCTACTTTCCAATCCTCTCTGTAAACAACGTTGACAGGGTCTATTGGTGTCACAAGTCATATGTGCCTTGTGACAATGATTACATGCTCTGTTGGTTTTTTTACGTCTCTAAATAGGTTAGTAAATTCACTCCTTTACCAAAATAGCCTCATCCTGAATGATTTGTGAGAACGATATTCTAAAAAACATACCACTTTCGTACTGTTACTAGATGCAACAGAATCTGAGTTGGACATCGGTTCATTTTTGATTTCACTCATTTTACCAATACATTTGAATCGAACGTCACTGATATGATTCGTTTTCTGGTTCTATATGGCCTCTATAGTAACATAAAGTGGTTTAGTTATTCTCACTCCGATACCGTTGTCTTATATACAGTACCGGCCGGTAGGCAAACCACTAGCTATTGACGTATTATATATACTCTATACCTTGGTTAATGGTTAATGAATAAGGATCAGGGAGTAATTTTGTAGATGATAGATGTATAATATCACTTTTGAAGAAAAGTAATTTCTAAATTTTGCAATCTTGATGTTTGTAATATTTGAGGATTTTTACAAAATTTAGTGCAACTTAGTTAAGTTAGATTAGTCAAAACCAGAACAGAACTTTTAGCTACATAAATGCACTTACAGAGATATATCTAAGTTATCCAGCACTAAAATTTACAGGGTTAAACTGATTGTTCAGTATGCTTGAGTATCAATGAAAAGCGACATTCTCATTCTCTCTTAGTTACTTTAAGACAAAACAAAGAGTACCCAGCTACATCAATGTTGAGGTCAGAGAAATCAGTTCGTTTGAATGTGTATATACGTATACATGACTTCAAATTGAGTGATATTATCACTTCCCTTAACTAATTATGTGTTCTGTTCTAATCAATTTCTCTTTTTCGCAGTCTATTCATCTTAATTAGTATGCGTCAATCAACACCCAAAATGCAGCAGCTTCCTACTAAATCCATACTACCAATCAATAATGAATAGTATTAGGAATAGATATGGCCATTTTATTCCTAAAACTGGATGGTAAAGGCACCGCTAATTGTTTTTAATGCCAATAGGCTGGACCACAATTCTGAAAGGAGCTGCAAAATTACATTCCAAAATATGAGTTCTACTGAAGAAGCGAATACCTCTTCATCCATAAGCATAACCAACCAGAGTGTGCCCTGAAGACCATGTTGCAGTGCGTTCTACTTTGCAGCAGATCAAATCATCTCTTTAGCTTAACCGAATTAAATAGTCACGTGACAATACTGACAATTTTCAGTCAGGATTCATCAGAGAATCATCAAGAATTTATACAAACCAGACGACGTTAAAACAATACAGAATGGCTGATTTTATCTCTAAGTTCAAGGCTTTGTCTTTGAAAGACATCTCAAAAGCTACCGACTCCCAATTTCCGCAATTATCCAACGAAGAAAAAGCATTAGCTTCTCAATTCGAAACTTTATCTACTAGATTCGACGAACCTGAGTCATTGACCTCATTAAATGAATCTTTAAAAAGCAAAACCTTTGTTGCTGGTAATGTTCCATCCAAAGCCGATTTGGTTGCTTTTGAAAAGGTTTTGCCATTGGCTTCAAAGTGGACATCTAACGATGAACTTGCTAAGAACAGACATATATTGAGATGGGCCGATTTAGTTCAGAACACTTTAGTTGATGTTCCAGAATCTGAAAAGTTGAAAATAGACTATGACGCTGCTATTCCAAGAGAAATCAAGGAAAAGAAGAAGCCAGCTGCTACTGGTGCTGCTGGTGCTGCTGGTGCTGCTGGTGCCGCAGCTGCTGAAGCAAAGCCAAAGGAAGCTTCTGCTGAAGATAAGAAGGGTGAACCATTATCAGAAGAAGCCAAGAAAGCTAAGGCTGAAGCTCAAAAGGCTAAGAAGGCAGCTAAGGCTAAAGCTAAGGCTGAAGCTAATGCCAAACAACAGGCTGCTACTGTTCCTCCAAATCCTGCTATGGTTGATTTCAGAGTTGGTTTCATCCAAAAGGCTGTCAAGCATCCAGATGCTGATGCTTTGTACATGTCTACCATTGACATGGGTGATGCAGAAGGCCCAAGAACTGTCTGTTCAGGATTGGTCAAATATATTCCTATCGAAGAAATGCAAGAAAGATATGTCGTTTGTATTGCTAACTTGAAACCAGTTACCATGAGAGGTGTTAAATCATGTGCTATGGTTTTATGTGCATCCAATGAAAACACTGTTGAATTTGTTAACCCACCAGCAGGTTCCAAGGCCGGTGATAAACTTTTCTTCGAAGATTTCAACGGTGAACCAGAAAAACAATTAAACCCAAAGAAGAAGATCTGGGAAGCAGTTCAAGCACACTTCTCGACTAATGACAAGTTTGAAGTTACTTATACCGAGGAAGGTAAAGAACCAAAGAGATTAGTGAATGCCAATGGTGAGTTATGTAAGAACTCAACTATTGTTAAGGCTGATGTTAAATGAGGTATTAACTATAGTATATTTAATCGAGCTACAAGTATACAACAACATATAGTATATTAATTGAAATACACCAAGAAATGTATTGTATTGCAAAATGACCCAATAATCATATTGCAATTGTAATAATTATGTAGCCCGCGCAACACATCGCTTTCGAAGCTTCATCGCAATCTATAATGAATTCCAAAGAAATAATTTAAACCAACCTAGTTAACTTATAAATATGAAGCTTCTTAGTCAATCCTTTGAAAAGGATAAAAGTGGATCTACCACATTAATTCCACAGGATAAAGAAGACTTATGGCAACTATACAACTTGATTCAAAAGGGTGATGAGATAAAGTTACCAACTCATAGAAACGTGAAAAAGACGACCAGTGGCGGTGGAGGAGGCAAAGACAAAGGGAAGGCAGATAGAAAGCTACTTACTTTGAAGATGTCAGTAGAAGATATTGAATATATGCCTTCTGATGAAGTAATGAGAATAAGAGGAAGAACCGTGGAACCTAATGAATTTGTCCCAATTCAAAGTTATCATACAGCTGAAGTGCAATTAGGCAAGCAATTCACACTTATTAAACCTGATTGGGATGAGATAAGTTATGGAATTATTGTAAGTGCCTGTTCAATCGAAGAAAAAGCTGAAGTTGGTGCAGTTATCATGGAAGAGGGAGTTGCACACTTATGCCTTGTTACAGACAACATGACTGTTTTGAGAAACAAAATAGAGAAGTCAATTCCACGTAAAAGAAGAGGAGAAGGAGGAGGTGGTAACATGATAAAGCCTTAGAAAAGTTTTTGGACATGGTACTGTCTACAATGCTCAGAAATTTTGATTTAACCAAGTTGAAGGCCATCATCTTGGCTTCCCCAGGATTTACTGCCAATGCATTATACCAGAAGATTATAAATCAAGCCACCCAAGAGGAAAACAAGTTGATTTTTCAAAATAAATCAAAATTTATGGTTGTCCACTCTTCAACTGGTTATCTTCAGGGTTTAGAGGAAGTATTGAAGGACCCATCAATTCAAAAACAATTAAGCAATACAAAATTTGCTAGGGAGGGAGCTATTTTTGAGGAATTTCAAAGAGTTCTCAATAACGATGACGATAGGGCTTGGTATGGTCCACTGGAAGCCGCAAAAGCGGTTGAACTAGGCGCCATTAAATACTTCATGATTACAGATACCCTTTTCAGAAGCGATGATATAGCCGTGAGAAAGCATTATATTAAATTAACGGAACAAGTTAAAAGCCAAGGTGGTGAAGTGTTAATATTTTCGAGTTTGCATGAATCTGGTGAACAACTAGACCAATTAACCGGTGTAGCAGTTTTACTTAATTACCCTGTTGCAGATCTTGATGAAGAAGAAGAGGAAGAATAATATGACAATTTAAACATTAGAATATTTATGTACTATAATACACTATTTACAACAAAGTTTCGTAGGTCAGAAGATCATATCAAGCTTCAAATAAGGTATCCTCTTTAGGCTGCATGCGAGGATTCACTATTCCAAGCGAATCCAAATACCAGATCCTTCCACCTCTAATCCATATTAACATGTCCTGAGAAAATCCTAAACTTAATCCCAACAAAGCACCTCTCTTGACGTATTTAATTGTTTGAACCCTACTTAATCGATGGTATAAACCATATACTCCACATGTTATCATAGCTGCGGCTGTCGTGTTTAATAAATCAATGGTATTTTGTCTTACATACGTGTCAAAGAAAGCCTCCAACCCAAAGAACCCTGTTACCGTGAGTGAAAGTTTGGTACCTTGCTTGAGGCCTTCTTTACACCCATTCATGATCATCACATAATTTTTCTTTTTATGATAAAAATACCAGCCACCTACTTTTCTTGGTAATCTATGCCCATTTTCAGTTAAATATCTTAAAGATGCTATTGAAACTCCGTCGTAAAACCCAGAAAGTGCCCCGATGATACCACCTACGATGGATACTGCTTGTAACCTATCTTTTGGATAGAGGTGGAACCTTTCATGAATCCTCATGTCAGAATTGATAGATTTTACTGAGGAACCATTATTTATAACTTCCTGTGATTCCATATTTCATCACTTTGAATGGTTGTACTCGCTCTAGCAGAGGTATGTAGCTAGAAGAATAGAGCGATTCATATTTAGACCTGTTTTATGAAAATTACACAAAGCAGTTTTACTTGACATAATCTACTGTAAGAGGTTTAGACTCAATTGGACAAGTATACAGCATTGTAGCATAAGAGGATCTTGAATACCTAATGGATTCGTCTTATTGATTAATCACAGGTAGATTAAATAGAGAAATAATTTTACGGAAACATAGTTGATTGGTATCACTAAATAAATAGTATAAACTAAATTTATAAATAGTCCAAATGGTGTTTACTGGTCCAATATGGACTTGACAAATTCAACATAATCGACGTTACCATCAGATGTAACGTTCACACCTTTTAATAATTCATCAACTTCCGAATCAGACAACTTTTCTCCAATAGAAGTTAAAATGTACCTTAATTCACCTACACCAATGTAACCAGTTTGCTCTTTGTCAAACACTTGAAATCCTTTGATATAATCCTCAGGTAATCCTAATGGCTTGAAACCATCTGGTCTTTCAATGATTTTTTGATAGGTGTCAAAGTCGAATTCGTCGGATTTAATTGAACCTTGTAATTCAGAAATTTCTGCTAATGTAGGATTTTGACCAACTGCTCTCAATAAGTCCCCTAAATGTTCAACTGGAATCTTTCCTGTTCCCTTCTTGTCAAAGAGGGCAAATGCATCTTTGTAAGTTTTGGTATTTTGTGACTAGACAAATTCACCGTTAGTAGATATTCTTTTATCGAATAGAAGATTCCATAATGCAATTATTTATGCATTGTTTATTCTAACACTATATCGAACATACCATAGTAGTAGATCTTGTTATACCGTAATATATTCTACTTGAAGAAGGCTATACTTTACTATCAACTAGCATAGATCGCATTCAAATCGAAAGGTAAACAATCATTGTCTTACATAAGCCGATATTACCCGGAATTTCTATATACTAAGATGAATCAGATTATGGAGTTGGTATCCTTTAGATAGTAGAGTTAGGAGATCACAGGCCATAGTTGGTGTCAAAACAGATAAAACTAGACTGTCGTTATAGTCAGCTTTTGAATCAAAAAATTCGCCTTGGATACGTAAAAGAAGTTGGGAAGCTCATTACGCGTTAACTACTTTTGATTTGTTATATACAAGTAGTATAAGAGAGGTTTAACGTATAACGTAAAAGTATGAGTGAACTTGGGGTTGTGGGGAATTTCAGCGACTATATAAACGATACGGACAACCACATACCTAAGAAAAGACGTTTAAATTGGGATGATGAAAAATTTAAGCCTGGATTCATACTAAGAGTTAAAGTGAAGAACTTCACTACATATTCGTATGCAGAGTTTAATTTGTCGCCGACCTTGAATATGATCATAGGGCCAAATGGGACCGGAAAGAGTACATTAGTTGCTGCTATATGCTTAGGATTAGGAGGAAAAATCGATCTCATCAAGAGAAAAACCATGAAATCAATGATTAAGACAGGCCAACAAGAAAGTATCATTGAAATTACGTTGAAAGATAGTGAGCCCGATCTGTATTTAGTGATACAAAGGAAATTCACTGAAAAAGAGTCTTCATGGGAGTTGAACGGAGTAGTTTCGGATGAAAAGCTGATAAGAAAAATCTGTAAGAAGTTTAATATTCAATTAGACAATCTTTGCCATTTTTTGCCACAAGAGAGAGTGGCAGAATTTGCGGGCTTATCGCCTGAATTGCTACTTCTTGAAACTCAAAGAACGGTTGGGTCGGGCCACCTTTTGGCAATGCATGAGGATTTGATCGCAAAGGATAATATGCGTGAAAGCTTGAAGACAGACATTGCATCAATTGAAGAAAGATTAATAAAATTAACCGAAGAGAAAGACAGATTACAGGAAGAGGCTAGACGATTTGAAGAATATCAGGAAAAGACACAAGATTTGATAAACCATAAAATGTTGATTCCTTATGCCCAGCTCCAAGATTTAAAAGAGCGTCAGAAGCATATCAAGAAAGAGAGAGATCTTGCAAAGAAAAAGTTGGAAAATTTTAAATCTAATACTAGGCCAATTGAAATACAGCTACAACAAGCACAACAAGAATATGAAGTACAAGATGCAAAGTTTCAAGAATCAAAATCAGCTTACCAAGAATTAATAGCAAGCTATGACAATAGGAAAGAAGAAATAAGTAAAAACTTAGACACTATTGCGGGCCTTAAAATGACAAAGACTACATTGTCGAATAAAAATGAAATGAAGAGGGTTGAGTTGGACAAATTACGACAGGAAAAAGAAGAATTATTATTGAAATTAAATAATATGCCTCAAGTAGATGAGAATGAGTTACTAAGGAATAAAAATCTCAGAGATGAGAAGCACGAGGAAATTAATGATTTAAAATCTGATGTTGATAATGCTCAAGATAAAGCAGATTCTTTGATTAGTCAACTCAATAAATTAAAGAAAAATATACAGGAGGAACAAAAAAGATCTAGCTCGAATGATAAAATTGTTGTCTTAGAAAGTAACGGGAGATACCGCAGTGATCTCTTAGATAATGCTTACGGTGCACATATGTATTTAAGGGAGCAAGCCGAAATTAAGGATCTCTATTTCGAAGCTCCTGTCGTCTCTTGTGAAATTGTTAATAAAAAATATGCTAAGTTCGCTGAAAAGGTTATTGACAATAACACATTACTTGCATTGACTATACCAACTCAAGAAGTTTATGATAAAGTTTCACAAGTTCTCTTTTCTAAATACAATGCTCCGTTAAGAATTACACAAGAAGTTGCTAGCACGAACCATATGAGCAAAGATGAATTAAACTCATATGGGTTCGAGGGTTTTTTGTCTGATTATATCTCCGGGCCAAAAGCCGTTTTAAATATGTTGAATGTGATTTCAAAAGTTCACCTTATTCCTGTGAGTAGTAAGCCTTTATCAGATCAACAGTTTGAGAAATTGTTACAACCAGATGGTAGAGGTAGAATCCCCTTTATGAGATTCGTGGCTGGGGATAGTTTATTTACAGTTTCAAGGTCCAGGTATGGATCTAAACAATATTTGTATACTACTGAGCAGGTCCAAGAAGCACGTCTTTTTGGTTCTACTGGCTTAACTCAAGAGGTTAAAAAACAACTACAGGACAATATTGAAAGGATGATAAAGGAGCACAAAACATTACGAGCAGAATTAGATAGACTCCAGAACAACTCAGAGCCTATTAAACTGAAACACCTATCTGTTATCAAAGAATTTAATGTAATAAAAGCTGAGGTTGACAGATTACAGAATCTCAAGAAAGGAAAAGCGAAGCTAGAGACGTATATACTGCAGAAGGATGAAAGAATTAAGAAGATGGAGCGAGATGCACAGAAAGATTATACTGAAAAGATAAAGGTGATCGAGAAAAAAGTCAAAGAAAAATACGATAACTATGCAACGGCTACATCAGAACTCTCGAATATGATAAAAAAAATAACATTTTCTTCCATTAAACTAGATCAAGATGAATTTTTGTTACTTCAAACACAAAATAGGATAGTCACAGCAGAACAGTTGAAGAGCAAACTTATGCAATATAAAGAGTCCTTAGAAAAGTCTTACGAGGAAGCGAAACAAAAATATAATGAAATAAAGAAGAGTGATGCAGCACAAAAAATCAGGGAACAGAATGCATCCTATACAGATGAACAACGAGAAGTTTTGTCTCATTTAGCTGGGATGTATATGGATAATAATACTTTGACGGAAAAAAATATAAGAGAGAAGATTCAACTCCTTGAAGATGAAAGAGCCTTGATGTCGACAGCGGATCAAAGTTCCATCGAGACGTTAAAAAGTAAACTACACGAGATTGAAGTTTCTGAAAGAGAATTGCCAAACTTAAGAAATAAGAAGGAGCAGCTTGATGAGAGAATTGACAAAATCTATGAACAATGGGAACCAGAATTGTCAGATTTGGTATTGAAAATTTCAAAGGCATTTCAAAAAAAGTTCACTACTGTTGCAAGTGATGGTCAAGTTGAATTAGCAAAAGAGAAGAGATTTAAGGATTGGAAGCTACAAATTCTTGTCAAATTTAGGGAAAATTCAGACCTAAAAGTATTGGACCACCAATCTCAATCAGGAGGAGAGAGAGCAGTTTCTACTATATTTTTCATCATGTCATTACAAGGTTTAACAGATGCTCCATTCAGGATAGTGGATGAGATTAATCAGGGTATGGATCCAAGAAATGAAAAAATGGCCCATAAATATTTGGTTCATACTGCTTGTCAGAATAATAAATCTCAATATTTTTTAGTAACCCCAAAATTGTTAACAGGATTATATTATCATCCAGATATGGTTGTACATTGTATTTATACTGGACCTCTCATTGATGCTGTTGAGAAAGACTCTGATAAGCCAGACTTTATGGATTTGACGAGAAGTGCATTAGTTACGGTTACGTAATTTATATTTATCTTATTTAATTTTGTACAAGAGTTATAAGTATTTTATGGCATTCTGAAGCCTAGAGTGATATTCGCTGTCACCGATTACTTCAATTAATAAAGGTATAGTTAAGCCAGGTATTCCTCCGGATACTGCAAATCTAACCGCTTGAAATACATCTTTTTTCTTTATTCCTGGTATTTGGTGCAATACCGTATCAACGTTGCTACTAAAAGAGTGTCCCTTAGGAAGATCTGTTAAAATTTGCAAAATTTCCTTTGATTGTACAGGTATGTTACTTTGATCCAATTTCGAATGATCTATACCTTTAAATAAATACGAGTGCATCTGTCCAAGCTCATTTAGGGAATTAAGATTTGAACCAATTACTTTTAAGACATTTTTCAAGTATTGTTTATCATGAGAGGTTTTGGTGGATTGCTGAAATTCAGGATAGTATTCTTCCACAAGTTCATCAAGCATTTGAGGATCTTTGAGCTTGTTTGTTAAGTGGTTTTTATTAAAGAAATGTAATTTCGAATCGCTGACCTTTGCATTACCTTTAGTTAGGTAGTCCAAAGAAAATTTTTCAATCAAATCTTTTAGGGTCATCACTTCACTTGTACTTACACCAGAAACCAATCTAGGTGGGGACCAACCGAATAATGCACAAAAGTTTACAACAGCCTCAGGTAAAATACCTTTCTTTTTCATACTCAAGATTCCTATGTCACCCGATCTTTTTGATAACTTTTTATCTTCTAATGAGGTAAGTAATGGTATATGTATAAATTTTGGTGGTTCCCAACCGAAAGCTCTATAGAGGGCAATATGTTTTGGAGTTGCAGGAAGCCATTCTTCACCTCGTATAACATGCGTAATTTTCATTAAATGATCATCCACAACGTTAGCTAAATGATATGTAGGCAATCCGTCCGACTTCATAATGATAAAGTCATCATAACGGCGATCAGAATTATTATATTGAGGCTGTAGATTTAATTGTCCATGAATTAAATCGGTAAATGGTTCGTATTTATCAGGTGCCTTGAATCTAATAACACGTTCCATGTTTTCTGTTTCCTTCTTATCATGATAACATTTCCTATCATAGGTTACAGTTGTAGGAGGCTTTAATTGACTTGCCGTTTCCCGCAAAGTATTTAACCTATCTTTTGAACAGTAACAATAATAAGCATCACCAGATTTTAATAAAATATCAACATACTTTTGATATATAGCCATTCTATCTGATTGCCTGTAAGGTCCGTACTCACCTCCCTCATTTGGTCCTTCGTCTATGTTTATTCCACACCATTTCAAAGTATTGTAAATATTTGATTCTGCATCATCAATTAATCTCTTTTGATCTGTATCTTCCAAACGCAATAAGAATTGACCTCCAGTATTTTTGGCTAATAAATAATTATACAATGCCGTCCTTAATGATCCCAAATGTAAGTAGCCGGTAGGGGAGGGTGCAAACCTGGTTCTAGCTGGGGAAGTTGGATGAATGGATTCCTTTTTCTTTGAATCCCCTAGGCGTGGATTTGTTGATTTGCTCTTCTTGAAACTAAATTTCTTCGTTGATAAACATCGCCTAAATTCAACAGATCTTGACAATCTTAAACATATCATACTAATAATCAGTATCGTTTAAATGAAATGTTGGAAGAACAATATCATAAATCAGTTGAAAAATTATTGTGACGAGCCCTGTACATATGATAGTGAAATTTTTTAAGAGTCAATTTATCATCAGAAAGATAATATTTTTCACTTTCTTCTACAAGCTGTGACTGACAGAAAGAGAACGATTCCAATCATCATGGAAACCGTTTCATATATACGCTCAACAGCAGCTGCTCCTGAAGTAAGTACTTCTCATGCAGATGCAGCCAAACTTCAGATACTCAAATCAATTAAGACTAAATTTTATATGCATAAATCTTTCGATATTCAATCAGACATGGAATTCATGCCTCATATTCCATCAGAGATGGCTAATGATAGAAACTATAAGAAGCCAAACAATGCATTTTCTTTCAATCAACTCGCATCACCTATTCATTCTCATAATATTATATATGATGGAAGACACACAGGTGAATATTATCCTAATTCGGTAGCTAATGGCATGTCCAATCAACACTACAATGTTAATGATACTCCAAAATCGAGGATGGCATACTTAAATCAGTCGTCTCCAAAGCGTACATCCCCATCACCTCATTCCAATACTGGCACCAAAAGTTTACGCAGAAAAGTTACAAGCAACCCCAAGAGCTTTATTCCTTCGAACGGTATGCATTCAGCAAGCCCTAAGCAATATCTCGAACATAATGATTACTACTATAACAATTAGAAGGTGTTTGTCTTGTCATCATTCTACGAGCCATTACTAATTTATTTTATGCATCTACATATCTCACACCGATAGATTCTTAATGATTTCACTTCATAAGACTAAATTGTCTTTGTTTTATATTTATATTTGTCTGGTTTTACTGCAACCTAGTTTTTCCTGGTATCGTACTTGAAGTTTTTTTTATTAAATCTGAGACATCAATTGTCTATTAAAACGAGTGTGCACATATACATATATCATTCAGAGGATTATCATATTTTGGAGATTTAAATATCATTATGACTTGTTATACTATCGCTTCATCATTATCGTTCAATTTTATTTTCATTTAATATCCTTGCACTTACTATCATTTTCTTGATTTATTTTTAATTTCCGGTTTAATTTAGCATGTATTTAATTAATCTTCATCTTTTCATAGAATTCATCTTCATTACGTTTCATTATACATATTTAATAAAGGTTGTCTTCCCATGTCAAGTTTTGCAATTGTTCATAGTGTAGAAGAAATATCACGTGTCACAGAATTTTCGAGATAAATGATGGCAAAGAGATAAAAGGGGAGTTCCTTACCCTGATTTGAAGGTTTAGTTATGACAATATAAATCTAAGAAGTAATTAGACTCTTGGAAAAGATGTGTAGAAATAGAAAAAATGATGATTCCATTGATTCGGAAGTTGTCGATTTGAACGACAATGCTAACGATAGTTACAATGATGATATAGATCAAGTTATGCAAAATGTTAATAATATTAAATCGAACTTGGGTTCTATAGCTAAATCATTCTTCAATTTTACTAGTGATTCGGTCAGTGATATAAACAATAAGGCTAAGGATTACTCAATGAACTGGTTGTCGGAAATTGATGATGAGTCGAATGAACATATCAACGAAATCCGTAAGCACTTCAGGAAGTTTTTTAACGATTTTGAGCCTAAAGTAGACGAATATTTCCCCAAACCTTATCAAAGTAGAAGCAACAGTAATAGTGATGATCAATTACCATTACAGTTTTCTCCTTGGTTACCGGGTAGAGATCACTTTCCTCATTTCTTCGGAGGTTCCAGGAAATGTGGAAAGACACCATTTGGATTCTATTCATACAAGACTCCTTCAATTAGAAACTATCACGAATGCATTGATAAGAAAGGTGAATCTGTATGGGATTCGCATGGGTATTGGAGATGCTTATTTCCAAACTCAGAGGTACCCAATGAGTTATTGAAGTTAAAGAACGAAAAACTTAGTGGTGAGATTTTAACTAAAGAAGATTTTAATAATGCTTTAGCAGGTCAATCGAGCTCTCAAAAAGATGGAATAATTGACTTAGGTGAAAAAGGTATCTACTTCAAACAATTTACAGACTTTTTGAACTGGAAAAGTATAATGTACGAAAACGTTAAGCGTGAAAAGGAAAAGAAAAGACATGAATTAATTGAAAGAAGAAAGCAACAGGCACAAGAGTGGAAGAGTTTTAATACCCCCAGTGGTGAAATGACTGAGGATAAGACTGTTATTTCGAGCTCTGTGCAATCAAATTTAAGTTCGAATCTGGACGCGAATGAATGTGTTTTAAATGAAACAAGAACAGAGTACTATAACGATGGTACTTCATGTACAAAGACAATAACCAAATCAAAACCTTTTGATGCGAAAGATTGGGTCAATGTGACAGAGAATGTCGAGCATAATAATACAAGCAATGGTAAAAATGGATGGTTTTGGAATTCAAAGGATAATTAGCTAGGTAGTTTAGTCCTTACGGTTAGTGCTAATATGCGACTAATGATATTAATATGGCTTTAATAGTGATTATATAGTTGATAATTAAGATTGTAAATATTTTACTTCATTTTGTGTAATGTTTCCTACGGTGAATAATTCAAAGAAGGAAAGAGATAAAGGTTAATCAAAGGATTGTAAGAGAGTATGGATAGTATAATTAAATGAATCCGTTAAATAAAATCATATTCCTTTCAGCATTCTTAGCTTCGGGGTTTTTGTTAATATTATTATCATGTGCATTGTATAACAATTGGAAACCTTTATGGGTTATAGTTATATTTTTAATTGCTCCATTACCTAATATAATAGCTCTGTCAATTGAAAGTCGTAGAGATGACTTCTTGACCTTCAGTAATGACCATGGAAATAATCCTACTACATTAGAAGAAATGAGTAAATTTTTGACAGGGGTTTTACTTGTAAGTGGGATTTCGTTACCGTTAACATTATATCACACCCATTTGATACAGTTCGGGTCTATGATAATGAGTATAATTGGAGGGTTAATAGTATACGTGGATATAATCATATTTATATGGTTTTTTAGTGAAGAAGAGGATGATCACGAAGACTTCAATTTCTAGTGGTGAAAATGCATTTAATTAGCTTATACGTTAGTTTTTTAACTTGTATAATATAAATAGTACACGTATACACATCTATATATCTATGAGCTAAATATCCTCCCATTTCAAGTCGAATCTACCTTCAGGAATCACGTAGTTTTCAATTGCTTCCACAACTTCCTCCGCAGTGGTGGCAACTTTCATGATCTCGCCGTTCTTAACCGAAACAAACTGCGAGTCAATCGAATCTTGAATGAATGTCAAAAAGTTGTCATAGAATCCATCCATGTTGTAAACAACAATAGGCTTGTTATGAATGTTTAATTGGAACCATGTAACCATCTCCATTAATTCTTCTAACGTCCCGTATCCACCTGGAAGTGCAACAAATGCGTCTGCCTCTTTACCCATTAATCTCTTTCTAGTATGCATATCTTTAACTAAAGTAGTGTGTCCATATTTTTCTGAATCTGGGATTGGGGTTGATCCGTTGTGATTGTCAATAGAAGACTTCAACTTATCGTTCACTTCTTCACTTGTCTCCTTAGTTCTTTCCCTGGAGATCAATGCTTCGGGAATAATTCCATGAACATATCCCCCATTAGTGGCGCATCCTTCCGCAACTGCCCCCATAAGACCGGTAGATCCTCCGCCATAAACCAATCCCCAGTTTTTATCAGCTAATGTCTTTCCTAACTTAGCCGCATCTTCAGCAAACTTGGGTTTGCTCCCAAAACTTGATCCACAAAAGACACATACAGTCTTTTCTGGTTTTATTGATGTTCTCGTCGAGTCTGAAGTCATTTAAGTAATTTTTTTATTGTATATTTGAATAATATGGTAAAAATAAGTTAAAGTTTTAGTATTATGATACAGGGCGAACTTTAAGCTATTTATCTAAATCGTGGAAATGTCACAAAACCCACCGCGGAGTTGCCGAACAAGCTGCAAAATAAGATAAGGAATGACATAGCTTTGTAGTCGTCACGCTATAGATAAGGGGTGATTTGTTACGCTGTATCCAGTAAATGCAGGTAGGAGTTTTGCTTTCAGTTAAGTACCTTCAAGTGAAGTTAGTTAAAAGCTTGATCAGCAGGAGATGCTCGAACTTGAAACATCTCGCAGCTGAACGTGGGGTCCCAAAATAGTATTGTTCAGTCGGCGTCCAAAACACAAACACAAGTTTATCTGGAAGAGAATAGAAATATATATTAGGAGAATCAACAGACATGGAATACATGCATTGGACATTATTCAAACGGTATAAGTTCTTGTATGGGTATTAAAAAGCTACTGTAGATTTCAATTTTAGGTAGTGCCACCTCGCCGCATGGGTGTGGAGAATAAGTTGAAATAACTAGCTACCAATGAAGAACCACGCGTGATGAATGCACAAAATCATAGCTTATACTCAACGACAGTCATGCTATATAGTATAAAAGTTTATGTATGTTTAGAGTTCTCTTTTTAGGTAATGATGGGTTGATATAATACCCATAATGTTCCTTGTGCGTCATGGTCATCGCAGAAATAGGGTGGATATCGACATAAAATGAGAGCATTATTAGACCTTTTTTAATTCATTTGTCAAATGGCTTATCGAATGGATATTCAAATCTTCTGAATCTACGTCATATTGATGTCTGATGAATATCTGTTCCTTTCATGGCTCATGCTTACGATGGTGGTAAACCTACTTTACCATTTGGCTCATCTATATCTTTAATACGGAATTTGAAATCGCATAAAAAATATTCAATTAACGCCTGGTTGGATATCGTACGTCGCCTGGTAGTGTTTTATCGTTTTCTCCTTGAGATTTAGCTAGCATTCAAACTGCCAATATTCCCTGTCAGTTGACAAAATCTGGACCGTTTATTATTTGTAGTGTTTCTAATTAGATGAATCAATATATATCTAATTTATATAAGAAGTATAAACAGCTTTTGAGATTGAAAAATAACATTTTGTAAATAGTTCATTTCTTTTGTATATAGTCCATTTCTCGTTAATCACCTCGGCAATTTTGAAGTATCAGAAGGGAAAAAAATTCGTTCGTTTAGAATAAAAGGTATTCCACTTACAAACCCAAGCCAACTACCTGCTGTTACACTTTGCCTGCAATAGTACGCCGTTTGACCAAACAGCATGTACTAATAATAGGCATATGTGTTTCTAACAATAGGATATTCGTATTTTTTAGCACACATAACGCGAAAAGAAAACGCGATTTTGCCAGGGTTTTTAATCTTTAAATAGAATTAATTAAAATGAGTTAGTGAATAAAGAAGAAAAAAAGATCCAATTTTCAAGTAACAGTTGCTTCTAATAAAATTTTCTGGTACGAATAATTAAAGATACAATATAGTTGTTCGAGTTACACCGAGAAAATGCTGAGAGATAGACAAGCTTTGTTAGACCAATTAGATAGTATAGCAATGTTCACTACGCTAGGGTCTTCAGAATTAGAATCAGAAGATAGACCGTGCATTGAACAAAAGGATTACTACGGCGATACGGATACAGATACAGAAATGTCGGATACTTCACGATATATGGACTCGTTTAATGATAACGTGTCTATTGGTACTTCTGATACCAAAAATACGGACATAATTGATATACTTCCTACCATATTGCCGTCAATGAAGGAATTACCGGAATTGCCGAAACAATTCACCCATGACCACCAAGGCTTTCAAAAACAGATAGAAATAGGAATGCTGAACGTTAAGAGCTTGGGCAACGTCCTTGACTGCATCGAGGACTTGTTATTACAAGAGAACCAAATGATTGAAGACGAATTGGCTAATGTGATACGTGAAATAGAGAATAGCGTGCCCAACAATACATTTAATATTCCTATTGAAAACATGATAACGGGACGTTCGAAAAGGTGAATAAAACATGTTCAAGTTGACACATGTTACAATTGTATTATAGCCTGAAATTCGTCCAAATAAAGCACCAATAACGAGAAATTTTATGACAAAGAGATAAACATCACGTATGACTATCCCAAACATTTATACCCAACAGACATTCTAATGTGTAGGCAGTATTCATAGAAAACATATAGAATCGTTATCTAGTATCGAATTTAAATATATGCAGTACATTATGATTAAATATAAATCGAGTAGTCTATAAAAGGAGAAAGATAACGAAGTAAGTCCTACAAACATGAGTGGAGTGAAGGATATTAAATCGTTAATTAACAAGACCAGGAGCTATCTTGACCAACTTGATTCAGTGATAGAAGAAAGAGACAGATTGATAACCATCTTAAAACTTGTTCCGTCATCCAATGATAATTTGGATTTGATCAACAGTTTGAACAAGGTCATCAAGAGTTTGAATTACATTCAGAAAGATATCATTAATTTAAGCAAAAATGGGTCCCCGAAGCCAGAGATTTATGAGGAGTTGGTGTCGAACTTTGAAGATTTGTACAACAGATACGATCAGCTTACAAATACCCTAACGGGTGATATATATGTCGATATAAATGAATATGGGTTCGAAAAACAAGACATACCCAAAGTGAACATTCCAGGTAAGTCAGTAAGGTTTTCGGATAAGGTTGAAGAAACAAGTCCTGTTCCAGAAATACAGCAGCATTTTAAACCCTACAGAGACGACGAAGAATCAGTTGCGTCATTTGAAAGTCAAACTAATCCTCAAATGTTTGCTCAGCATCAACAACAACTTATCAGTCAGGATGAAGATTTAGGTGTATTACATGATTCTGTTAGAAGACAGCATTCAATGGGGTTGCATATTAATGAAGAAATAGATGATCATTTAATAATGTTGAATGATTTGGAGCTGGGAGTGGAACGCTCGCAGTTCATGCTAAACAGTGCTACAAATAAGTTAAAGAGCTTCAGGCAGAAATGCCGTGAGAATGGTAGTTTAGTGACCATTGTTGTTTTGACAGTAATATTGATTGTATTGTTGGTGGTTTTAAATTAGGAGTTAGTTTTAGATACTTTCTACATGATCTAAAACTTTAGACCGTAATATAGATAGGTAATATTAATTGTTTGGGGCGCAGAATTGGTTCTACCAAATATAATCGTTGTATATGACCTCATGAGGAAAAATTATATTGTGAGTGGTAACTTCAGATGAATTTTATTAGCGAATAAGTCTACAACCGCTACAGGTGGTAATACATTAGACGTAAATACGTTTATTCTATAAACTATTTCAATAAATATCTGTATATCGCGCTTCTTTATGTTTAACTACAATGTCATGTTTTATCATTATCATTAATAATATATATATATATATATATCTAGCCACTTAGTCTCTATAATTGTTTCCCTGTATCAACAGTTGAACTCGTCTCTAGTAGCTGAATGCCCTAAGTTTTAATGGTAAGGATCCTCTTCCTTGGTATCGTGAACATGAAACAAGTCCTCGAATTCGTCAAGAGGAATCTCCACATCAGACAAACGACCAGTTCCCACATCATACATCATACCCCAAACTTCTATATCACCATTCTTTAATGCCATCGATGCCGATGGGTGTCTCTTTAAAGCTGTCACTGACAGAATTACGTTCAATTCAGCCAATTTACGTGCCTTCATCTTAGGATCATCATTATACTCATTTAATAACGCCAAGTTAGCTGCTCTAGTTTGCTTGATAGGTGTCAACCACAAGTCCAACACCCCACCGATACGCTTCGACGACATAGATGCCCAGATACCACCACAATCGGTGTGTCCACATACAATGATTTTCTTGACCTTCAAAACATCCACAGCAAATTGGATTACCCCCTGTGATGAAAAGTCATTGGATGTGACGACATTACCAATGTTTCTGTGGGTGAATATTTCACCTGGTAATGCTGCAAGACATGATTCACCAGCTCTTGAGTCGGAACATCCAATCCACAAGGTGTGTGGTGCCTGGCCCTTTCCATTCAACTCAAATACCTGATTCGAGTGATTGTGCTTAATCGAATCGATATAGTATTTATTGTTTTCCAAAAAATCTTCTTTGGTCGAATCTTTCAGCAAAGTGAAAGGAAAGTTAGAATTCAACACTCTCAAATTCTTGACCATGTCTTCTTGCTTTTTCTCCAATGGTGGTGTAGTCTGGCCTTGCGGAAGATCCGTTTCGTGCTCTTTTTCTAATTGATAGTGCAAAATGTTTTCTCTTCCCATGATAAAAGTAGATGCGTGAAACCTGCAATTTCCCAAAGGTCTTATCCCAGTAAGAGGTTGAAGAAAACGTTTAAAGACCAACACCTTGAATATTTAAGTACTATTTATATATGCCAACATTTAGTTGATGGGTATTAAAGGACTTTATACTAGTAAGAATAATTTTTGCCTGTTATGCAAAGAAACAGACGTCATCAATGAGTCGTGCGATCACCAACAATACACCCATACACCAGATGATACTGAAAGCGTACGATTATAATTAGAGACTACTAGCGTAGAGGATTTCCTAGAGCAGCAACAACAAAAAGAAATACTGCTAGTATTGCCATCAGTGCTAATGGAAGCATGGCAACGATAGTAATGCTAGTAGAAATAGGAGCAGTAGTGTCTTTAATGTGGTGGTGGCTAAGGTATAGCATCTATAAAAATTCTACAGCATACTGGACCTGTGCCACATAACAGATTCGACTAGCTGTGGAACCCAACACCAGCCTATGAGTATTCTTTGATATCGCACTTATCGCACTGATCCGCTTTGTTGTTGGGGGCGGGTGCGCTCCGGTGAGACGCAAGCGATAAGAATTATCTGTAGCTCTGTTGACGTCAGCGTAGCAGGCGTGGTCCCCCGGCTTCATAGTTCCGCAGGCGAGCGAAACTGTGTGAGTCAGCATATGACTCGGCCGATGAGATCGCTGGGGCAGGAGTCGTACCGCGGACACACGCGTTTTGCGATTCAAGAAATCATCGTTACTTCTACAGTCTGTGTTAGCTGATATACAAAGAAACGTAACAAGTATCTGAGAAGTAGTCTGTTAATACTGCAATTTTCATGACCAACGAAGACGAACTTGTGGTATATGATGAGCCCCGGTCAGCCCGCCAGGAGGAGTTTGATAGCCTCGACACGTCTGTAAAGCTCGAGCGGCTAAACACCTTGATACAGCGGTCGCAGGTGTACTCGCAGATCATGGCAGAGAATATCTTGCAGAACACCATGGATAAGAAGAAGGCAAGAGAAGGAGCTTCCGATGCAGTGGCCGCACCCCCTTCGAAGCGCAGAAAGGGTGCAAAACGACAGACAAAAGTTCCAAAACATGACGTAGTGTCGATGCTTTCAGCACCTTCCGCTGAAAATTCGACCCATAAGCAGCCAAAGTTGTTTTCAGGAGGCACGCTTAAGGGTTACCAACTAGACGGTATGGAATGGTTGATTACTTTGTTTGAGAATGGGTTGAATGGGATTTTGGCCGATGAGATGGGGCTCGGGAAGACGATTCAATGTATTGCCTTCTTGACGTTTCTTATGGAAAATGGTATAAAAGGTCCGTTTCTCATTGTGGTGCCCTTGTCGACAATTTCTAACTGGAGCAATGAGGTCAAGAGGTTTGCGCCATCGCTTAAAGTGTTGAAATACATAGGATCAAAGTCCGAACGATCTGAGCTCACCATAAAGTCAGATTATAATATTGTGTTGACGTCTTACGAGATATCCATCAGGGATTTTGCAAAACTCAATCGTGTCAGCTGGAAATACCTCATTGTTGACGAGGGTCATAGGTTAAAGAACATGAATTGCACTTTGATCAAGTTCTTGAAAAAGTTAAATGTGAACAATAAGCTTTTAGTCACAGGGACACCGTTGCAGAATAACCTAGATGAGTTGTGGTCTTTGTTGAACTTTATACTACCCGATATTTTCCACGACTTAGATCTATTTCAACAATGGTTCAATTTTGACGAGTTAACGAATTTTCAGCAAGAAAATAGTAACGACGATGAAACCAACCGCTTAATTGAAATGAATATTCAGGAGAGCTTGGTTAAGAACTTGCATACTATTTTGAAGCCATTTATCTTGAGGCGATTGAAAAAAGAGGTCATCCGCAATTTACCGCCTAAGAAGGAGTACATTATTCATATATCCTTGAGCACATTGCAGAAAAAGTTGTATAATGACGCGCTAAATAACAATTTGCTATTCGGACTATTAGAGGTCTACTTAAAAGAATATATTCACTATAACCATGGTGCTTTATTTGATGGGTCTGAAATCACCGAACTAATTGAGAAGAAGCTCTCTACGGTACCTGTTGATAAGAGATCCAAACTTGGATCATTTAAGGAAGCTGAGAGTGATGAAGAATTTGATTATATAGAAGAACATATCGATCAATCAAAACCGGAATTGGATGAGAAACAAATTGCCAAATTGCCCAAGGCGAAAAGAAAAGAATATATTTTTGATAATTTGTACTATAAATGTCTCAAGCAGTTGAAAAATTTATCGTTGCAGAATTTAGTTATTCAATTGAGGAATATTTGTAATTCGCCATATATATTCTATGAACCGTTTGAACCAAATTCAAACAAGGATGGAGAATTTATGGAGTTGTTGTTGCGCAATTCTTCCAAGTTCAAAATTTTGCAGCAATTGTTGGATGGGTTATTGCTGCAAAATCACAAAGTACTCATATTTTCACAGTTTACGAAAGTTTTAGACTTAATAAATGATTGGCTCGTCTTCCAAAATATTAATATATGCAGACTAGATGGATCAATGAACCAGCTGGATAGGGAGGTAGAAATCACGGAGTTTAACGCCAAAAATTCTAAGCAGCAAGTATTTCTATTATCTACCAGAGCTGGTGGTTTAGGTATCAATCTAACTGCATCAGACACGGTTATTATTTTTGATAATGATTGGAACCCACAAATAGATTTACAGGCTATTGACAGAGTACACAGAATAGGTCAGACGAAGCCTGTAAAAATTTACCGCTTCCTCATAAAGAATTCAATAGAAGAAATATTGATCAGTAAATCTTATTCGAAGAGGTTTCTCGAGAAAATCATTATTCAAATGGGTGAATTTAAATTTAATAAATTTCAAAAGGTCATAAATGAAAAGAATCTTAATTTCAAGAATTTGGTTAACTTATCAAAAAGTTTCAGAATAAATGGAGAGGTTAAAGAAAACGCATCTGGTGATAATGATTATGAAGTGGATGAAAGGGAAAATGAGAATATGTTGACCGATGATGAAATGACCGAGTTGTTGGATAGAAGTGACGAATGCTACAGGACAGAAAAGGATTTTGATAATGTTTCGGTTTTTGAAACTATAAATAATATGGATAAATAAATTGTATAATATTAGTAATAGGTAATTGTATAAATTAAAATAAGTTAAGTTATGCAGCTAAGTATGTTTAGTATTGTAAAAGGACAATATGTCAAGAGTCTTAGTTCTCCATCTTAAAGCATTCCAAAATGCACTATAACTCCAAGTCAAATCTTTGGCACCTTGCATGTAACCCGTATATTTGTTGAATTGCTCAGACATATGACCTCTTCCATCAACATGGTCTTTTATTATCTTTAAAAAGGAGTCCCCAAAGTCAAATAAATTAAGTAAGGCATTGTTATACCGAACAGAATTGTACGGAATGACGAACTCTTCTAAATCATCGGCTTCAAAGGTAATGAAAGATTTAAAGAATTCATGGTTATACTTGTTAATGACTAAATCTTCTCTACTATCCAGGAGTTTGTAAACCGTTTTGAAAATAACTTCCGCTGCAGATGCAGTAGCAATAAACCATGGATTACCCTCTGAAGTTCCAACTCCGTCATATATATCCTCAGGGTATCTTCCAAGAGCAACTCCAAGTGAAGGTTTTCCAATTCTATCGCGGTTGACTGGATATCTAAACCTCATGTCAGAAGCCATTGCATTAATTGTGTTCAAAATATGATAGTCATTAACATCAAATGGAACATCAGAGTATTCATTAACTTCAAGGTCATGTGAATGTATACTTGCAAGTAAAGTAGCAGCATCGAGTCCAGACCTCTTACCACTTGAAAATAAGCTTGGTGTCTCAATAATATAAAGAGATGAAGGGATGACAAATCTAGCTTCTCCTTCAATAAAATCCTTCAAACTATCGAGAACTTCATGTAATTTATCAATAAATTCATTATCCACTTCATATATCTTGGCCAATTTGAGCCCATCAATTATAGCCCTTAATTGTGACATAGATGTAAAGAAATGAATTGAATTGACTTCTTCCCAAATATCAAAACTTTCTTTTTTCCAATTTTTAACAATATAAAATAGATCAGGTTTAATGATTTCATCATATATGAACCTCTCATCTCTCAAGAATGTATTAGATAATTGAATCTTGTATTTCTGTATTAGATTCAAGTATGAAACTATTGTAGATATCCTTAACCCTGGCCCATCGTTTTGAGGCCTCCCCCAATGCTCATTGAAAGCAGTACAATCAGGCATAAACTTTGGTTCTCCTAAACCTGATCGAGTATCATCATCAAAACTACCCAGATTATTCGGTAATCTCTGCAAGTGGTAATTGTTTTCAATGTATTTTTCAATTATGGAACTTATCCTCAGGTTGTTTAGATTATTGTCCTCAAGATAATGAACCAAGGATCTAATGGTTAATGCAGCATCTCTCACCCATTGATAAAAGTAATCTGGCTTATGCTTTGAAGGAGACGCAATAACAGCTCCTTCGCTCACCTCATTCTCTTGTAGAAACTCGCTGATGCCTCCAATATTATTCAAAATTCCTTGAAAAGAAATGTTTCCCTGCGTTACTAGCCATTTCTCATATTCAGAATTTTCTGTGTTATCTAGCATATAAAATTCTTCGTTATCATTCGAAAATAAATTTAAGGATAAGATCTTTTGTACAGCTTCCGCCACACCAGTATTCAAGTAATGAAGGTCATATCGAGGAACATAAAGTCCATAAGAAATGGCAAAATTTGCCATAAGCATCAGTGTAAAAAAGCTTAACTTCATCATTAGTCTATCTTACCTAGATCAAGTCAACCAACTATTCTATATCTACTCAATAGAATTCAATTAGGGTGCTAAAATGCTTCTATTGTTTAACAAGACAATTGCTAATATTTTCACAAAGATAAGCTTGTGACCAAAATATTTTGCACCATTTTAATTTTGTGTCCCTGATAAGAAGTATTCGATGAAATTATCTTATAGGCAGTTTTTGACAATACTAGACAATGAAATATAGATAGATATCCATAATACCATATAGCGATCATTCTCATCTACGTCAGTGCAGTTTTATTGTTTTTAATAAAGTTTATTGCTACACCACATATCGGCCTGATTTGTTTGAAATGCGTTAATTCAAGCAGGCAACTAAATAAGATCAACATATGAGACATTATTCAATGTCTGTCTCAATATATAAGCAATAAGCAAAAGTTATATTGGTCTAGTTTGAAGCTGCTGGTCGAGTTTTCATGACTTTCGATAAGAGTGATCAATGATTTGAACGTAGTTAGTTCTACGAATGGTACACATGCTCCATTATTGATAATATCATATTTTAGCGGCAATAAAAAGAATATGCGTTGATGTAATGACCAATTCTCTAGAGCTTTTCCCATATATCTATAGCGTTTCCGATATATTTATATAGCTTTAATGTGTCAATAAAGCGTATTTTATTCTGCGACATTTATATGTTTACGACATTCTAATATTTAGGATTAAATCACGACATATAATGAACAGATACGATATGAACAGTATTTCTATATAGCTGGTAAGAAATATGATACAATCATCGATGCTATACCTTTTAGGTTCATTGCTATTTATACACGCTGCGTATTCATCATTTGAATTCCACCAATTATTAAAAATACACTCGGAATATGACTATTTACCACTACCAACGGAAATTACCGTCGAAGTTATATTGGCATTAGTTACATTTATAATTGGATCTATAATTTCAATCGAGAATGAACCTAAGCTATCAATAGATAATAAGTTAATTCTGCAAGACGATAAGTATTTGAAAAAAATTGAGATGAGGAAGGCTATGAGAGAATTCGAAAAGGTCGGTATTAGTGGATTTGAAGAATATGACTCTAGGGTCGATTTCATTGATATTAAGCAAAAAAGAAAAGAATATAACGATTGGGTTAATAAATGAAAAGTGTCCATATATATTTTGTTCGTTTACGAATTGTTATAATTACCATAAATTATGTTATTATCTAGTAATAGTGTGTATCGTATATAGTTTTATATGTAAATTAGTATTCTATAGAATGTATTAAGCAATACGGTATATGAGAAGATTATAATTGCTTCTTTGATTCAGCCTTAGTCTTCATTTTTTGTTCTCTTGAAGACTTACCTTTAGGACCGGCTTCGGTATTTAAAAAGTAATCCCACCATCTGAAAGAAGAACTGTAACTACCAATGAAATAATGGTGGTGTTCATCGTGGTGATCTGCACCAGCCCAGAATGGTAAAAAGTGATGTAATGACCATGGGAATTCGTAGCCGCAATGCGCATCAACCGCTTGGAACAATCTCAAGGTGATCCAGACACAAACAGTGAAAAGATGCAAATTCTTAGTTATTAAACACCATACAATTGGAATACCAACAGTTCCGAATCCTAATAACATAACTTCAATTGGGTGGGCATATTCAGCAGTCAATCCGAATGGAGCCGCATATCTGTGATGTTGTTTGTGGATGTACTTGTAGAAGACACCATGGTGTAAGGCTCTGTGGAACCAGTAATGCCATGCATCCTCACATACAAAAAATACAGCTAATTGGAGTAAAATAGAAGATAATTTTGGGAATGGGATTTCGAAACTAATTCCGATTCGCTGACACAATGGGTGGAAAAACCAGATAGGAAAAGCTTCCACTAAGAAGTGCGATGTTAACACAGACTTCAAACATTCCCATTGTTCCTTGTTCGATGGAATCTTAGCATCTTGAATCTTATATTTGTTAAAGTATGGAATTCTGTCAATAATCATGAATGGAAGACATCTTCCAAAATACATAGCTTCATGTAATGTGAAGAATAATAATCCAGTGGCAAACAAATCATTACCCATGTAGTAATAGTATGAACCCCATAATTTTTCAATCCAGTTCAACAGCTCGATTTGGCTGAAATTATTGTAAACTTCGCCAAATGTAGTGGCATTAGAAAACCCAGAGTAATCGTGAAAGACACTAATAGTTGTTAGTAATATGTTCTTTTTTTTCATTCTTATACTTTCCTGGTCATTCCCAGTTAGTTACGCGTATCTATCTTACATACCTTGATGACATCCTTAATATCCTTGATTATCGGTAAAGAGATAAATAAATTCTTTTTCTTTTCATTTATATTGTGATGAAAAAAAAGAAACTAACGCGCTAAACGAAGGGTACGAGAAACTAAACGATGCGACTTTTTGTTAGGCTTAACGTCATTGCTATTTATCACAACGACATAATTGCGACACTTCGTTGTGTGCCCTCGACTTGTTGTATCTCATCCGCTGATTATGCATTATATATTTCGCAAGGCTAATTTCGACAGATACAGGGTCTGTGCAAAAGAATTATCTATGCCTGTAGAAATCAAAAACATTTACCTTTCATTTGCCTGTCATTGTAGGCTAATTGTAATGGGGATCGGAAATTGGTAATTGGTAATTGTCATGAGGAGATTCGGCTGATTAAATACGCGAAAATCAAATTGGCCATTTCTTGAGGAGATACGGCTACAACATATTCTATGATACTGATAACTATAGGAATGGATCTATACCTTGAGATTTATACAAGGAGTACTTAAATGCAACTTTAATTTTTAGAGGGTAAGTTTTCAACCTGTTTCGTGGGGCGAGATGATAGTGACGAGGGTGCTATTGTGATGAGCATATTGACAGGACACAAAGAAAAAGTCGGAAGAGCGGTCCGAATAATATATTAACTGTAATCTCTTTCTAAGAGGAGATACCATATAATGTTGGTTATTTTTTCACGATATGATTCTAGCTAGAAGTGTAGGATATTAACATATTAATCTCTATATATATGAGCAGTTATCTGTAGGAGAATGATATAAAACGAGTAGGTTTAAAGTTGTGATTCAGCCGGACTTTGAGCTTAGACATAACGTCGCGCAGAGTAAATATCTCTACATTTCAATAAATTTTATTTCTGTTCCTTTATTCAACGTCAAGCATTAAGGATAACCATGTCGTCGTCAAGCGAACTAACCAACAAGGACAGTTCATTGTCTCAGGAAGACCCAAAATATGCGGAAAGTAATAAACTTAAGACAGTAGAACTGAATAGTCTAAACCTGTCCGTATCATCACTCAACTCAAGCCGAGAAGGATCTCCTCTCAGAGAACCATTAGCTTACGACAATGATTTACATGGAGTCAACTCAAAGATAAGGAGAAGGTCTAGTGTTGGAAATAAATCGGATAGAGGAAGATCACATTCTCTTGTTAGCTCCCTAGCTGACCATTTATCAGGACGAGGGCATTCTATGAGTAGACATTCAGTAGACAGTCAACAAAGCTTGAGTAGGTATTCTACAAGTTATTCGGTTAAGGAGATATATGGTGACATGCCTGAAGAGGAAATAATGCTTCAAAGAAGTGCAACGAAGTCTACCATTTTAAATACTCTTTCAAAGAGAGTTGAGAACGCGAATATAGAAGCAGAAAGAGGTGAAAATTTCGATAAAGAAAGCAAAGTAGACGAGCGTATTTCGGAAGAAGATAGGTTGTACCAGGAAGTTCCAGATATTCCTGTACCCACCACAAAGTTTGGAGGTGAATTCAGCAGTATCGATCCTGAATTAGTTACGTGGGATGGTAGAGATGATCCAGAATATCCAAGAAATTGGTCCCTTGGATCAAAGATTTTGCAAACTGCTATTGTTTCTATTTATACCTTAATTCCCCCAATGTCGTCATCAGTTTGTTCACCAGCTATGCCTGATATCGCTGAGTCACTTGGAATGAATTCTCAATTCCTTCAATCATTTTCTGTTTCAATTATGGTTTTAGCATGGGCACTAGGTCCTATTATTATCGCTCCTTTGTCAGAATCTGATAAAATCGGTAGAAGATGGGTCCTTAACATATCCGTTTGGATTAGTTTTATATTTAATCTCGCATGTGCCTTCTCAAAGAACACAGCACAATTATGTATCTTTAGATTTTTAGGAGGTCTTGGGGGAGCTGCTCCATTAAATGTTGGAGCTGGTACTATTGCTGATTTATGGGATGATAGAGGTAGACAGTTTGCAATGGCTGCATATTCAATCAGCCCTTCATTAGGACCTGTGATTTCGCCAATTATGTCGGGATTTATTGTTGAAAACACGCATTGGAAGTGGGTGTTTCTTGTTTTAGCCATATTAAACGCAGTTGTTGCTTTTGTTGGTACATTATTATTCAAAGAAACCTACTCGCCAAAATTATTAAGTCTTAAGGCTAAGAGATTGAGAAAAGAAACAGGCAATGTTCATTTACATACAATTTTCGAGATCGCTAACGGCGAGACTACGTCTGAAAAGGTATTCAATACCGTGACAAGACCCTTGCAACTACTTATTTCTCATCCGATGTGTTTTGGTTTAGGTTCATTCATGGCCTTCATATATGGTTTTATGTATTTGATGGTCGTTACATTCCCAGGTGTATTTCAAAGAAATTATGGATTCTCAGTAGGTATTTCAGGTTTGATGTTTGTGCCGATGGGAATTGGCTATGTTGTTGGTATTGGGTTCTGGACATGGCTCATAGACTATTTTTATATAAAATTAACGGAAAGAAACAATGGTGTCAGTAAACCAGAGTACCGGTTACCATGTTTGTGCTTTGCAGGTATTGGTATACCGGTTGGTCTTGTGTGGTATGGTTGGTCAGCTCAGAAAGAAATACACTGGATAATGCCAGCAATTGGAAGTTGTATTTTTGCATTTGCATACATTCCTGTGTTCCAGACTATTCAAAATTATTTGATTGATATGAATACCCGTCTTTCTGCTTCGTCTATTGCTTCATGTTCGATTTACAGATCTATTTTTGGGTTTGCATTGCCACTTGCAGCTGATCCAATGTACAAAAAACTTAACTATGGTTGGGGTAACACTATGTGTGCGTTCATTGCATTCGCCTTAGGAATACCATTTCCAATATTCTGTTTAATGTACGGTGAAAGACTCAGAGACTGGGCCAACAGAAGACTCGACAAGAAGCAGGCTGCCAGAGACGCAAGAAACTTGAAAAGATTGCAACAGCAAAATGAAAATGAACTTGCTAAAATGGACAAGTCGCAACCTGTCATGGATTCTTCATTTCTGAAGACCGACTAGGAACTGAACACTAGAGATAGATACCATAAAACATTTTTTAATACATATTTAGCATTTTGTACCAAGCTTATCAAAAGTACATAATATACACAGTATAACAGTAAATATTCTTCACCTGAAATTCATTTACAACTCTGGATTTGGATTGCTTTCAACTATTGAACACCGGCGGTGCCACTTAGTCGTATCTGTTAGTTGCTCTCACAATTCACATCTTAGCAACCACTACTTCCAATACAGCCTAGCCCCACATTCTCGGACCTTTTGCCACTCCGTAATATCACGTAACTTATCTTATCGTCGTTCCTGAGTGGTCAAGTATCCAACCTACCCTATTGTTCATATTTTCTAATTGCACCCATTCCACACCTGCATCCCGGGGGTCCACAAACACCAATTACAACTCTGATTAAATCACGGACCTTATCTTCCATCGTCTTATCGTCAAACTGTGCATACAGTGTAACTCCCGGAGTACTAGTATACTCCGGACCTTAATAGCCTTCCCCGGGTGTTACCCTTTTGAGTGTGGTATTAAATTATTTTCTAAACCTTAACGTTGTTCTGTGCGTTATGCAACATTTTTCAAACTCTCAAAGTCAGTCCGATCGACGAATTTTTGCCTGATCCGGAAGGCTCTTTCTGGGCTACAACTTAGGCCAGTGATAACGTCTTTCCTGTATACAAATACATTCCGGCACCGTTACTCTCCTAATCTCAAGACTGGAATTCTGAAGCCGCATGGGCCGTGCTCTTTACATAAACTATCGTTCATAGCTGACATCAGCACGAGCTGCTGGTTTTGATCATCTATTCATCGTGAAACTCCTATTCTGCACTCTCTCGCGGCCCTACAAACAACAATCTGTCAATCATGTGCTCGTATGTGAATGTACTTCCCCTGGCCTAGCTTTGACCGTGGTCAAGTGCTATCATCTGCATCACCGCACGATTTCTCTTCGCAATCGTTACTAGTCCGCCTCTCCTTCTTAAAATCGCAATAATTTCCTCTTGTGCCCGCAACTATAACATCCTCCGTGGCCTCGTCTCTTGAATGTGGTTCCAGCTCCCAGCAACTTTTCTTGTTGCTGGTGTTTACTGATACCCGGACCCGGAGTTCTATGCAAGCATTACAAAATCCATCGCTTGTTACGTAATTGTACACGTATTCCTGTACAGTAAGATTTTGCCTATGTCATAGTGATTACTCTAACCCTATTATCGGATATGATTATTACCTCTCATACATCATGCCTACGTAATGGTGTAGTAAATACTACGTAAGTACATACTAAAGGGATTGTCTGGTACGGGTATGCCTTGCATATCAACAAACTATTTGGGCATTTTCTTGTATCATCAATGCAACAATACTCGGAAAAAAACTATGTCATCGTTAATAACCGTGCGATCGTTTCTTTTCCGTGTGTACATTACCGCTAACTAATTTTAGTATGTTCGATGTTCGATATGGTCATCGTTTCTTTTGCGGCCGCCTTTAATTTTTTATACCGTTGGTCATAAATATAAATCCGGGGTATCAGATTATATATAAATGGACCATATCCACAAGGAAATTTTTTGTTGGAAGATAGTTAAACAATTACAAATAAAATAAATAGATACAGGTAAAATGGATTACTCATACGATAATGTTGTTCCAAGCTTTAGATTAGATGGTAGATTAGCCATTTTGACCGGTGGATCTGGAGGATTGGCTGCGGTAGTATCCAGAGCATTGTTGGCACAAGGAGCTCAAGTTGCTTTACTTGACATGAATTTGGAAAGAACCAAAGCCGCTGCAAAGGAATTGGAAACATGGGGACAAGAAAACTTAAAGGGTAGTCATGAAAGCCCAATAGGTGCTGTCTCAGCTTGGTCTTGTAACATTGGAGAATTTGAGCAAGTTGAAGAGTGCTTCAAGAATATTAATGAACACCACGGTACCGTGGCTGATTTGTTGATTAATACTGCAGGTTACTGTGAAAACTTCCCTGCCGAAGAATACCCATCTGCCAATGCTGAAGGTATTATGAAGGTCAATGGATTGGGAGCTTTTTACGTGTCTCAAGCATTTGCCCGTCCATTGATTAGCAGTAACAAAAAGGGTTCTATCATTTTGGTAGGATCGATGTCAGGTACTATTGTAAACGACCCACAACCACAATGTATGTACAATATGTCCAAAGCCGGTGTTATTCACTTGACCAGATCATTGGCTTGTGAATGGGCCAAATACAACATCAGAGTCAACACATTGAGTCCAGGATACATCTTAACCCCATTGACAAGAAATGTCATTTCTGGTCATTCCGACATGAAAGAAGCATGGGAATCAAAGGTTCCAATGAAGAGAATGGCCGAACCAAAAGAGTTTGTTGGTTCGATCTTGTACTTGGCCAGTGAGTCTGCTTCTAGTTACACTACAGGTCACAACTTAGTTGTTGACGGTGGTTACGAATGCTGGTAGATTTTTTAATGACTATGTTTTAGTTTTTCTATTGTATATTATTTTCTGGTTTATTTCTATTAATAACTACTTCCAATTTGCATAATAAAGATATAAGTATATTTATCGATTACTGTAGACTACAATTGTGTGTCCGTACTGGTAGTTACATTCAAGGTCACGTCTATAATTCAGTTATCCAGCCTTGTCTTCCCGCAAGTTCCTACCGTAATTTCCGCTGGGAGCAGCATGCGGATTTCGAAAGCCACAATAATAAACAAGTACCTTGGAAAGTTAAGATTTACATAGCTTATGAAGTCTGTGAGAAGCTTACATGCAATATATGGTCTGGATAAAATGGCATTTGAAATCCGATCATCAGAATACCTTTAGCGACAAACCAATTATTTGCAGATGATAACCAATGATGAGAGGTGAACTTCATTCTATGTTTGTGAAAGTTTTCAATTCACCAACTCGTTATTTTCGCTATGAGATTGCTCTACAAGTTTAGAATTCTCCCACATTTTCATTAATGACTTCTTAAAGTTGCTCACGTTGTAGTCTATTATAGTCATTAAGCTATCCAATGAAAGGTCACTGTTATTTTCATCGTGCCTTACCAATGCGACCAATGCTAGCCCTCTGATCATCTGTTTCAAATAAAGTAAGGATCCGTTAGATAAATGAGATATTGATTTTAGCTCTTGCTTTTTACTTACTGTTTCATTATCATTCTTTGAATTTTCATTTTCAATGTATAAGTCATCTAAATCAATAGTAATGTCAATGAACTCTGCGCATACTTCATAGGTCTGAATATCAACAGGAGACGAATCAGTTGCCACGTAAATCTTCGAATTGACATCAAAAATAAAGATCTTATCAATGGATGAATGTTGCACCAAATTATCCAACATATTTTCTAACGAAGGCAATTCATGAATTAACTTCTGCACTATTCTGGAAAAGGCCTCATATATAGAATGATCAAAAATAGATGTTAAATAGAATGAAACTTGAACTCCCTCTAATCCTAAATCTAATAATTCATCACCAATCCTCTGCATTATATCCCTTTGCGCATCAATTCTATAATCTTCCGACAAACCATCTATCTTGTGAATCAACACTTCAATATTAATCTTTGGATTCACTTTGTATGCATATTCGATAATTATGGACAAATTAGTGAGGGCATTTAAATACTCATCCTGCGAGTCGATAACATAAACCAACGCTCCTACACTTGAAAATAATCTTTCTGAATCATAATTCGGTTCAAAATAATTTAACTGGCCTGGTAATTCCATAACAGATAAGTCAATTAACAGTGAAAATTGTTCTGTAGTTGGCTTAGATGTACTCTCTAAGTACAACGTATCCAAGGGCTGCATGTTATGGAAAACAACCTTACATATTGACGATTTTCCTCCTCTACGTAACCCCATTAATAAGATAGTAGCATTGCTATCCTTTGGATTTGGTAATATAGTTGCTTCCATATTAATTATAGTATGAGGACCTAATGAAGAAACACTTATCTTTGCTTTTAATTATCTTTTCTAATTATATTCATGGATTTACGCAAACTAAATTTGATTATATACACGCTTTTCCATTTATTGCAATTATAGAATGACTTACTATATACTTGAAATTGTTTTATAAACTTAGTTATATATTAGTATCACTATAAGCTCATGGTCTTAAACGTCTTGGGTCTCTTGGGAATAAAGACGCACGACGAATATTTTTCAAATCTAAGAAGAACATAACAACTCTTTCTAAACCAATACCACCACCGGCATGTGGAGGACAACCATAGGTGAAGGCATCAACGTAGTCATCTAAACCTGGAACATTAGGATCAACTTCATGAGCATTCATTCTTTCCTTCAAAAGGGTAGGGTCATGGATACGTTGAGCACCAGATAAGATTTCTTCACCTCTCATAAAGAAATCATAAGAGTTGGAGTATCTTGGATCTTCGCTATCTGGCATAGTGTAAAATGGTCTGATTGCTAATGGGAATTTGTCTAAGATATAGAAGTCAGTGTTATACTTTTCTCTGACCAACTTACCTAATAACTTTTCATTTTCAGTTGATAAATCTTCGAAGTCATCAACGTCTTTTCCAGCTTCTCTTAACATGGCAATACCTTCCTTAAAGTGAAGTCTGACCATTTTTCCGTCCTCTGGAAGCTTGAATTCTTCAACAGGGTATTGCTTTCTAACAGTTGCAATTTCCTTGGAATATCTATTTTTTAATTCAGTGAAAATGAATACGAACAAATCAGATAAAACGTCAATGACTTCATCATAATGTTCTTCGAAAGCCATTTCTAAATCTAAACCGGTGAATTCAGTCATATGACGGTGAGTATTTGAATTTTCAGCTCTGAAAACTGGTGCAACTTCGAAAACCTTTTCAAAATCAGCAGCGATTAATTGTTGCTTGTATAATTGAGGAGATTGTGCTAAGTAAGCTTTACCCTTGAAATAAGAAATCTCGAAAACATTGGATCCACCTTCTGATGGAGCAGCAATAATCTTAGGTGTGTGAATTTCAGTGAAACCCTTAGTAGATAAAAATTCTCTGAATAATTGACAAACAGCAGCTTGAATTTTGAAAATAGCTTGGTTGGTTGGTGTTCTCAAGTCAATCACTCTGGCATCTAATCTAGTATCTAAATTTACAACTGGTAATCCAGCTGCTTCTGCTTCTGCCTCAGATCTGGTAGCATCTTCAATTAAAACTGGTAATTGTTCTGGAGTTTCTTGAATGGTGTAGATCTTGGTGACGTGCACTTCTGCGTCTTGGACAGTTGCAGACTTGATTTCTTCTTCGACCTTTCTGACAACACCATGGACGACAACAATCGATTCTAAATTAATAGAGCCGACCCACTTCACCATTTGTTTGGAAATAGAATCACCGTTAGCTTTAATTAAGGCTTGAATTAAGTTATCTTGTTGTCTTAAAGTAATGAAAGCCATAGTTGCACCTTGTTGTCTTGAAGTATGTGCTCTAGCTCTAAAAACAACTTCTTCACCATCGTTAGCAGCAGACAAATCCTTAATATTAACTCTTTTGATTCCGGTCTTATGAGAAGAATTAATCATTGGTAACTTACCATAATTTTCTTTAGCTGGATCGTTGGCAGCTTTAGCTTCTCTTTCAGCCTTTTCTTTAGCTAATTGTTCTTCTCTTTCAGCCTTCTTACGTGCTTTTTCCTTTTCCTTTTCCAATTTCTTTAATGCCTTTTTGGACAATGGTTGACCGTCTTCACCTAAAGGAACATCAGCACCGGATGCAGTGGCTGGTGCCTCTGTGGTCTTTGATTCGTCAATCTTTAAGTTTTCCAATTTCTCTGTAGCTTCAGACATTTCAAGTATAATTGTCTTTGTTCCTAACAGTATGATTAGTTAGTCCTTTAACCTTGTTCAAGTGAAAAATACCGTTCAAAAAGTTTTAGGTGAATTAGTCATTGCTTATATAATATACACTACTTCTATAACATAATCTTGGTCTAGTTTACAATATTTACAGAATATGTTCAACAGCCCTAGTGTTGAAGGCAGTTCTTGTTGCTCTATTTAACTATGGGCCTGTTCCTGTTCTTCAAGCTTTTCTTTTTTTTTCTGTTCTTTTAAAGCTCGTACTTCTTCTCTTCTGGCTAACCCTTCTTTCATTTTCCTGACCCTTCTTTCCTCCTTTGTCTCTACTTTTGAAGTTGAGTTTTGCAGGGTGTTCAAACTTTCAACTGCTTTATACAATGCATCTAATTTCTTGAAATTTTCTTTAAATCTATCTTCAGATAATTTTGTAATGACACGGAGATAGTCTTGCGATACAAATGAAACCAATTCTTCAGTCAGTTCATTCAAGAAACCGATGGGTACGTCCAACTTTATGGATATTCTTATTCCAACAATATTGTTTGTACCAATTCCCGATTCTCTGAAGCCACAGCTCATAGCAGCAGAATACAACTTATTAGCCATTTCTAAGTCTCTACATTTAACATGCAAGATTAATGGTTCAAATTTATATAAAATGTAACGGGTAGTAACAGATGTAGATTCATATGAACTTGTATCAGTGATATATTTGAAGTTAACTGAGCTGAACCAGTCAGGCAAATCTTTGGGATCATGAGTGACAAATATCCATCGACCGTTATTTCCTTTGGCTCCAATCTTAACATCATCCTGATTAATATCCTTCACCCCTTCAAGAAAAACTGAAACTCTTCCCGAGCATGATGAGGTGGTTACCATGTCTTTATTAGAATTAATCAAATTGATTATCGGTATGCAAAACTCATCGATAGTACCTTTAGGTGATGCGTCTGGAGTAGTCTCATCTGTTGTGCCTATCTCAGCAAGTATAGATTTCTTCTTCTGATCGAAGGGGTCTTGCATTATTAATATTTAGTTGCTAATCCAAGTTACGTTCTTCGAATTATAGAAATTTACAAAAAAGTCTTCTCATAACGATCGCGATACTCAAAAATACTTCTATATATTATGCGTGATTATCACTATTTTAAAGCTAATAAGAATTTCTTCTCGTCATCAGCACTAAGATTGAATAGTGTCTTTACTACAGGTAATAATTGGGCTCTTTGATCCTTATGTTCAAAAAATCCAAGAAGGACATTTTTCAAGTATGCAACGTTCGTTTGGTTCGATGAATCGGAGCCTGAATCATCAACTGAAGGCCTTGCTGAATTAGAAGGTGATTTCGTCAATGATTCGCTAGATTGTGTATGACTCTGATTTGGGGAATCTTTTAATGATTTAATTTGTTTATACTGTTGGGTGATAA